CCGCTGCCACCCTTGACGTGGTCAGCTGACCACTGAACGGTTTTGCGCAGTCCTCCAGAGCCGTCGACCATCGCTTCGTTCGTTAATTCTCGATGTGCGAACGCATTGTTTAGTATAGGAATGAGTCGCGGTCTCGAACATGGTCATCGCCAGGTGTGGAGTTCGATGCTTGGCGGACGAATCCATCGAGGAATCTGTTGCTAATTCCTCGTTTCCAAAACCTCCAACTCGGCAGCATACAGTGAGAATTCAACCCCATGAGAAATACGGACGATCCCCGGAACAGGATAGCTGCTTTAGGCTGGACGTTCCTGGTATACGTAGCAGGTAAATGAACAAGGCAAGAAAGTGCATGTCTCCACCGAAACTCGTCGGCGGTAGCGTCGTGCCCGGTCATTGGACCCCATGGAAGTTGCCTCGTCAAAGTTTAACCACTTGCCAAGAGGTGCCGGACGGGCGCCCTGGCAGCGGTGCCTCCCCGGACGCGCAACGACAAGCTACGCACAAGTCCCTCGAAAAGCCTCGCAAAGCTCCTCGCCGAGAGAGCGCTGCAGCCCGCTCGGCTGCGTGCCTCCCTCCTCGCCGGTCTGGATTGCCTGTCGGATACACAGAGAATGCCCCTTCTGCGGATAGGTACATTGAACAGAACCTGAGCCGCGCTCCCCAAAAGCACAGCCGGGCCCCAGGTTCCGATCTGCGATGCAAGCCACTCGGCTAGCCGAAAAAAACTCCCTCGCCCACACTCTGACTCAACACAGACAGCCTCTGGAAGGCTCGGGTTGGAAAGGCAGGCTGCGGCAGATATTTTTCACGTCCACCGTTTCGCGGATGGATGCAGGAGGAATAACTGGAGTTTCCATAGGTCCAGTCAGAGATCTGAGCTCGTCAACAATTTCGAACGACACCTCGCCCTCGGCTCTTCCGTTTTCGGATAACGGGCTGAACGAATGCTGGGATTGACCCAATCGGAGTGCTTCGCCTGCGCTCGCTGACGATTCTGGGCAACAAGAGCAATACGGGGGAGGAAGCGAGCGCGTCGACCTGGTGCGATTCCACTCAGTGCATTTCCACAATGACGGGCACGCGACCCTTGAGCAGAGACGAACTCCGGATGCAGTTGCGGCCCAGGGAACTAGAACGCTGAGTCGTGCTCGTCCTTCTCCCGTCTGATCCTTGTCTACGGGAGAACGAATCATACGTTGATTTTCTCTCTCGAAGCCTCCGAAGCTCTCGATACTGGCTCCTGCCAGACTCTCATGAGTGACCGGACGAGGAACGGACGTTTGCAACGGTCACGTACGATGGCGTCCGGTGATAATCTCGGCTACGTTTCCGTGCACACACCGCTAAGGACGGACGGGTCCATGCCTTCCGAGCGCTGTTGGTCGCTATGAGCTGATCGGTGTCGCGGACGGCAATGGACAATGTTCCGCCAGGGATTCGACCGATTCGCGAGAAACTGAGATGGAAGGCTTCGGACCCTAGGGCGTCCATCACCAAATATCAGGAGGCGACGAAGGGCGCGAAATTCTTCACGAAGATTCAGAGCATATCCAAGCGAATATGGTCAGGATCTGCCGCAGTAGACCGTTCTGGCCAGGATCTTACGCGGGGCCGGTTACGAATGACGGCAGTATGTCGGCACGGGTCCTGATGAGACAAGCACAAGACCGCAAAAGACTTGACCAAGGCTGAGAGCTCGCTCCACGTTCTGAGGGTTGCAATTCGCAACTGGGCATACGAGAATTTCATGTGGAGGTGGACACCTGTTCGACGGTGCCTATGGATTTTCGAAAAAATCGACTTGCGCGCAACGTTTTGAGCTAATTGTATCATGGGGAATCTCGCTCGCTCCTTTCTCTCCGCTGTTTGAGATCTTTCTCGAGCTTCCTCCAACAAGTCGGTGGATCATCTATCTCCAGTCCGGAGCTCCGAGATCTTCCCAATCTTTCGACACGCCACAAGGAGTATTAGCTCTGCGTTGAAAGGAATTGTCTGAGCTGAGGCGTCGCGCCATCGAGTCATGGAGACTCGCACCTTGAGGCACAAGAGCGCATTAAAAACTGAGGCGCTCTTACTCATTGTTAGTGATAGGGTTCTCCTCGGGAGCCTGTTGAGCGAAAATGCAAGCCGACCGAGATGACAGCTTTCCCACCCCGTAGCATGAATCCTCAGTTTATCTTGAAGGAATCTGGATCTCGAGAATCAGCCAATTGAGTGTATCCTCTCCTCGCTCTGAGATGACCGACATGGAATATGATCGAAGCTAGCTGACCTTGGGAGTGACCTCCGTCTAGTAATCAGAAGTTTCTGATCCTCATCGAGACCGTTCATCATTTGAAACTTTGTGACCGACAGCACGTGGCGTATCGGATACGTAAGCCTCCACTTCGGAGGATATTCTTCGGTCTGACCTCCCGGAACGGAGAACCCTTAGGACGTTTGAGTATTGATACGCAGCCTCGCCGACTCACTTTATGCTTTTCCCCTAGCGGTAGCCATAAAACTAGTGCAGCGGAGAACCGCGGCCGGGACCCAGCTCACAAGAGAGCCTCCCGACTCCCCTGGTTAGAGTTATTAGAGTTCCCGCTTCGATTCGGAATTAGCGGACACGATTTTCTGTGGAATCACCCACACATGCTACCGGTCCACGCGGCATAAATGATCGAGGATGTGGTTCCAAGATAGATTCCGAGATCCCAGCCATACGCTCGAAATCTTTGGAATGTTCCTCCGAAAGTATTTCTAGTCCAATCAATGAGGAATGCATGGTTGGCGTACCAGCCATACATGGATAAATGAAGAAATTCGAGAAGAAGTATACTTGAGATCTATTGAAGAACTGAAAAGAAGTTCAAACGAAGCTCGGAAACAGCGGGATTCGGATGTTCAGGCTCTTTGCCGCATATCTACCTGCCTCTGAGGTTAAATTTCTCGATTCAAGTCTACCATGGTACTCTCCAAGGTTCTCATGGAATAGATGAAAATGCCCAGACGGGTCACCGACGAGCAGCGGATTGATGCCCTGAAGCCGATCTGGAACGCCCATGCGTCTGCCGAGCTTGCACGCAACAGCGAAAGCGATCGGACGAATAGTTATGCTCGAAATCTTCCTCTGGGAAAGGATGCGAGTTTCTGAGGCTCTGGAAATTGTTCGGCGGAGCTATCCCTTTGATTCCAAGCTTCACTTGGATCAGGCAAGGAAGGAGTTTGACGGGAGTCAATCGCATAGTCCGATGGTCATTCGATCCAGAGGAAAACCGATCGGCTCACTATGAAGCTTATTGGATCGACTTCAGCGGGGTGTCCGTGAGCCCGAGATGCGACTCAAGTCTGCAGAGAAGCATTCCACACAAACTGAGCGTCGCAACTGCGCAAAGCGGGCGCCTCCCTTCCTCCTTCCGTTAGGAGTTGAAGCACCTGGTGCCCTTGCTGATCCGGTGCCTGATTCCGCGTTCGAACGTTGTCGACTCGAAGTTTGTTCTCTTCATCATGTTCGACTTTCAAAAGAACGCAGTCGAAAACGCACAGGCTCAGACTCGGTCACGGTCTGGTTTGCATATAAGGAGAAGAACTCGATTTGGCGGGACAAGCCCTCCGATTGCGGGACCGAAACGAAGGGCAGCGACCGAGCAGCGAGCGGGGAAGGTCACGTCATCGGCTAAGATCCCCTTGTCCTCTCCGTGTCCATGCTGGTCCGTTCCGCGGAATCCACGACCCGCAATACGCGTGTCATTTGCGCATCCCTGTCGCAGACGCAAGAGCCGCCCTGGGAATATCACTGCCTTCCACTCCGGGGACAGAGGCTACAGCTGCGCACGTCGAAGGCTCATGCACGATGATTTCCTCATGAGACTAGCACGGGGATTATGGAAATCGGCGAGGGCTCAATACTCTGATGCGACGGATATTGAACTCGGTCAGTGACTCTGGGCAAAGACTGTAATCATTTTTTCGAACACACCACGTACGACTCTGAGTGACCGGTTTTTTCTCCAGAGATATCTCCGGATCCCTCAATGATGCCGAGAGAGGAACGGAATAAATTACTAATTCAAACTTATATCCAAGACCGATGACATGTCAAGACGCAACGAAGCCACACTGCCGGACCTCAGATCACGTCACCGTCAGCTCCTGATCGAATGGTCTAGCATGCTTCTGCTCCCAACCACTAGAACCTTGAATCATCATGAGAAAACGAGGGGAGTCAACGCGCAGTGACTCGCGAGTCAATGGAGTCCGGCAGCGTTTCTCTCACAAGACACGATTCAGAGCCGCAAGGCGCACCTGTGACTCGCTGCATGGAACGACTTCCAGAATGATAAGGTTCGCTTTCGATTGCTTCCTTCCCTTCCAAAGAATTTCTCATCGAGAACGCTCGTTGGTATCGATGGACGCTTCCATCGTTCGACTGCTTCACCGTCGCCGTCGTCTTACGTGCGCACTGGAAGGCTCCTCATATGGGGGAGTGTCATGTTCCATCGTTTCCCGCTTTTTCATCCTCTCGGCGAATAGTGAAGAGACGATAACAGAAGTTCGTCTTCCCAATCAATCTGTGAGAGTTCCTGAACTCTCGGAAGATAGTCGCAACCGTACCCTCGGGTGCATCCAGTGTGAGTTGAGCTCCACTGCCCCTCCAAGCTTAGTCCGTTCTCAACCGTCCGACATTTTCTTCGCTTACACAACGGACGGCCCTCCCTCGCTCGTTATTATTTTTGTTCCTGTCTCTGTAGAGCGGTCACGTTCCTGACTCCGGGAAGCTGCTGCCCCAATGTCTGAGTATTTCCAGTTCAAGAGACTAGGACGTCAGGTTGCTTCCAGTGAACTACCAGCAACAGGAAGAAACTGCCCACCCGGCTGTTCTCCTTCCTCGCTCTTCGTGAGTCCTTCCCCCCGGCAGCTCTATGATCCGCTGTGGGGATCGCTTTTTGGAGCCAAGTAAGAATTCCCGAAGTTCTCCTCGCTCGCTATGGGAGTGATGATTTAGGAAAACTCACCGTCTTTGCTCCACGTTGCGGTCGTGACTCCGTTTTTGTCGATGTACACGCAACTGATTGTGTTGGTTCCGTTGGTCAGTTTCGCTGTCCGATGCTTGCTTCCGCTTTTTAGCGACGCACACGGGATGTGGTGTGGCATCTGACCACGGCTCAGAACATTGTTCTGGCCGTGTTTGTGAACGTGGACATGATTATTCACCGGTAAAGGCAAGGTGGATGTTTGAAGGGTTTGGATACTCCGATGGGGGGAGAGCACTTGATCTTGGAACATGAGGGGTGGAGGCGGATAAGATAGATCCCCCTTCAAGATCTGCGTTGCCATCTTACACCTGTGAAACGAAAGAAGAGCGTTCGGTAAAGGGAAGATCGATGAGCTAGCGGGGTATATCATACCTAGCCCAAGACTCGAAAGCTATGAGTTGATGACTTCTATCCGTGTGAGATTAGTTGTGTGCGATGCCTCCGTGAGCGCTCGTTATCTCGAATTTTTCTCTCCCTCTCGAGTCTCCGGGAGACACTAAATCCACCAGCTTCGTATTCGGCGATACTCGTTACCAACCAGCGAGGCGGCCCCCCAATAAAGGGGAAAACGTGTGAAAATGGACGCTTCTCGGCGCTCCGGCAGGGAGAAAGGGAAGCTGGACTTTTCCCAATGATCCGAGGGAGATCGAGAACAAGGACTTCTTCGGAAGACGAACACTCGATGCAAGAGGTTGATACCTCCAATGAGAGTCGAGACTTCAAGCCGGTGCATGCATCAGTCTCCCGCGAAACTGTCGCATACAATTATTCGAATTCAATTTCCCGAGACATTAATGCATTAAAAAAACAGTTTTCGCGTGTCGTTCGCTATTTCCAAGGTTGAGCTCTTCCTATACTTCCCATGTCAGGGGCTTGAGATCTCTCGCTTAACCCCCTCGAGGAGGGCGGGGATTCCCCTCGCCCCCTCGGGACATGCCTGGATCAGCCGTTGTGAGAAGCTACCTGAACTTGTAGCGATGCGGTTTATTGCAGTCCTCATCATCAGCACTAACTAACGGAATTCCGACCGGAATTATTGTGTCATAAAACGGAGGATGCACATTATCGCGGGTATTGCAAACGTCAACCGCACATTGATTCGCGCAGGTCCCCAGTCTCGTTTTGCCGCTTGAGTTCATTTAATCGTGATCAGAGGATCCTGCGTCCGGCACCAAGATGCCGATCCAGAGGCGGCTCAAAGCACATAGAGGAATTCATGAAAGGATCCAGGGCGACTCCTGCCGAAGGGGTCGGAAGGAGCCCATTCGTTGAAGATCAGTATCGAAGAAGATCCTCGGTCATTCGAGGGTCCCACGTCTGGCGGTAACGGGAAAGCTCGAGCTCTGAATCATTTCAGACGCACGTTCCCACCTGGTTCCCCGGGCTCCGTCTGCATTGTGTCGATGGTGTACCTGGGCAAGAATTCCTCCCTCCTTCAACGACCCTCCCCATACAGCTCGAATCGATTCGGATCGTCAGCCAGGCGAGCAGGTCATTCACGCGCTGAAAGCGAAGTCGCTCAATTTCCCGACCACAGCGAGTGCATTGATTGCTCCTGTAATCCACAGAGTGCTGCGAGATCCCTCCGGGACACCGGACGCACACCATCCAAACTCCCTGATCGAGCTCGATGATTCTGACGATCCTCGTTCGCAAGCGCGTATATGATAAGGGACACACCGAATGAGATCTTCGATGCTCGCCGTTCAAACCTCATCGTTCCCATTTGGATTTCGAATTCTTTCCCTCGCTCCGTAATCGCACGGCTCGTACTGAATCCGAGATAATTCGTGATCCCAAAGTCGCATACTCCCTAGCTTCCTCGTGTAACGTCTGAATGCTCGCTAAGGACCCATGGACTTTCAGGAGCACAAAGCGTCGGGACCGAGCCGGTTTCGCGCCCCTGCGCGCGTGAACGAGCCAACCACGGATTCCCCTCCCTCAGCCTAACGTTTTCTGGGAAGGGCGCGAGCCGTCAATCTCCTTTTGTTCCGCGTTTGAACGCCTTTCGGAGCTCATTTTCTCTGCGAATGGAACTCGAGGGAAACACTGTACGACAATCTGAAACCCCTCATTCGTCCTCGCTGTTCCACGTAGAACAGTCAACGATTGAGTGCGACAACTCAGCGATTCGGGCCGAGCCTTCGGGGTGCGGATTGCGGGTATCCTCTGTACGTGTTCTCGTATCCCATCCCTGGATTCGTTAGCCAGATGGGTTCTGCACGTATCTTTTCGGAGATTAAGTATTCTACAAGTCGATGTCCCCCCGTGATGATTCCGAGCATAAACCATAAACTCCTCCGTCGACTGATTAAGTCGAACAACGGTCCGGCTATGGGGAGAGAGATGGATTCGTGTACGAACCTCACAACCGCCACCAGCGCGTTCCACGGCCAGAATCCCCGTCTGATTATAGAGGCACTGCTGAGGGCCGGTCCGATCGACTGCGGTTCATGTCGCCTTCGTGTTTAGATCATCACCTCCGAGTCACGAACGGGCACACAACGGTTTTCTCCGAAATAACACTCAGAGAACGGGAGGCGAAGGGCTAGAGCTTATCCGTTTCACCAAACAAGTAATCGGAACCCACACGTTAACACATGAGATGTCGCGGAATGCGTCGGAGAACCGGATAGAACGCACGGTCTCCCTGCTCTCGGGGTTCAATGGAAGTGGCTGCTGGAGTTGGGGAAGAGTATTTTGGGTGAGAGGTCTGCTCGCAACCCCCCGGAGGGTCATCTCTCGCGCATTCGGTAATTCCTTGCTTGACACCCTTTGACCAGCCATATCGGTATACTGTTGACAGCTTTGTAAGTCGCCGGCACTATTGGCAACATCGCAGACAGTGTCCAAAAGCTCATTCAATCCTGAGATTCCCCCCTATGATTGGGATATGGGCAGAGATACGTAACCGTCCTTGCCCTCCTCCGCCGAGTTCCCTCTTTTGCGTCTCACCCCACAACACACAGCCCCGGGGTGACGCTCGTCTTACACCTCGAAAGGAAAAGAGAATAGTACTCTTTGGATTCGAAGGCATGGATCTTTCCATTCAAAGGCTGACAGGATTCGCCCGTAATGCACTCGTCCGACGCCGGGAATCCGTGGAGAATGGGAAGATGAGAGAATCGCCCGAATCAGTTGATCTTTCAGGACGTGACGCATATCCCGGAAATGAGAATACGGGGTACACGACCTGGTTTATAGAGCGGCTTGGAGCCTCCACGCTCGGAATTCCGAAGGTCTACGTCGGAAGGATGAATGAACGTAATATTCTCATTGAGCGAAGGTTGTTGGCCCGAGGAGCTGAGTCGTTCCCAACGCCCTCTAGTGACCCCGATGGCGAGTTTAGACGGAGGGTAGTCGACACTGAAGTCTCTAGGTACTGCAGAAGCTGCTCTCAATCATTCTATAGGCCGTTCCCAGATTTTTTTTCCACTCCACGTTCTCAGAAGAAACCCTCCGAGCTCTGCGTAGTCTACAAAACGAATTGCTCGACCGAAATTCGCGAATCCTTGCAGTTCTGGTCTTATCTCTCAAACTCAATGGGGTTTATTCGACTTCGAAGTCGGGAGTTGTGTTACAAGCTCGGCTGAGCAGCGGATCCAGAGTACGGTTTTGTTTCACAACTCTAGTGTCTTCAAGTTATACGATGGGCTCGACGGCTTCCCTTCCTTTCCTCGGTCTCTATCGCTATGTTTTTCTCATGGTGTCCGATGACGCACTCCTTGTCTACCTCAGGGGCTCGATTTTCCGTTTTCGTGATGCGTAGAGGTCCTTGTGGAATCCCTCGATCGCTTCTGAATGAACTCTTGGAGCTCTCGGATGATATCTTCGGGTCTGCAGTGAGCCAGTCATTCGTTTGCTGATATCCTTGTGGGGGTTCTTGTACCGTTGAATCACGAGCTTGTCAGCTTCATGGACGATTCATCAGGAAGCAGGAGAGTGACTGAATTTCGAAATGGCTGAACTTTGTGAAAGCCTAGCTTCTCAATGGGAATTAGACGAATGCTTGGGGAAATGTTTCCGAAGCTTTCCTGACCTCTGATCATGGGGAGGGGTCCGCGAAATTAATTGATAGGAATCATAGAAATTGTGTGGATCATTCGGAGTGGAGAAAATAAGATATCCCGGATCAGTCGGAGAGCTTCTCCATTGAGATCTGTGATCCATCAGAGATCGCTCCGGAACAGGCTCAGCATGAGAATTCACTTCGCAACTGAGGGGGGAATGGAACATCATTAGACGTTTCTCAAAACTTTCGAGCCGCCGTAAGGTATTGCATCTTGTTGCAGGATATCAGCATCATCACAAGACTCGAGTACCTAGGACCTAGAGGATGAATTCGTATCTGTAAGTTAAGGTCTTCAGCGAGGCTTATTTGGAAAAAGTTACTCGGCAGGATTCCGATGCCTGACGCCTCCTGTTGTGGAACTTTTTCAGTACCGTTTTGCAGTGAAGAACCAACATAGCCAGCAGAATCGCCAAAATCACTATAGCCGTGATTATAGCTGAAAGTAATCATAGCTCGGATGAGTTCCCAGGGAGCGCTACCAGTGTGCGATGGTGGAGGACCCATCCCCGAAGCGTTGGAGCACCGCATGTCGAAAGTGAAATCGGAGTTCCTCCGCAAAGAAAGTCATGGAAAGTAGACCCTGATTCCAGCTCGGCTCAATCGTCTCACCGATGGCTGTCCAGCTCCTGTACCACGTGAGATGTTCACTGATGTCGTAATAGAGGACGCAGCAGTCTGTAATGAGGTCGATCTCGATGGCACAGGTCATCGATGGTACTCCTCTCACATCAGTCAATGCTCTTTATACTCAATGTCTCACGCTGACCTTTATCGATGCAGACACTATCTGTAATGTTGAAGCTGGGACAGCTCAGAGAATAGTCATGTAGTTGAGCGTCTTCGGGAACCTTTATGGCGCAGGTCCAGTTCAACCGTCTCTCCGCGTCCCCTTCTGATAAAATGATTGAGTCACTGCGGCCCTCCGGCGAATCGATGATGAATATTTATTGGCACTCTGAGCTTTGTGATTTGAGCAATTTCGTGGAATGTCCGGACGCTCTGAGTCGTGATCTCAACTCACCGAAAACGCACACTGCATGATCTAGTAAGTTGTCGTTGCAGTGTTCCCGTATACATTTCAATCCACTGTGAGACGGACATGTTGTAGAATTCTTCTCAACCGTGACGTTCAACCCTGGAGCGGATTCGGGATCTTTCTCAGGGGATTAAGGTGAAAATTCGTAAGGCTCAAATCGATACGGGCTCTTTCCGAGAATCAGCTTGAGACCCGCATTCGAAAGTTGGCCCTTGTCGGATCGCCCCTATTCTGAATTGATACCTCTTTCGAGACGAGTCCTCCCAGTTGGACAGCTTGAGTGTTCGGCTTCGATTTCTAGGGCCTCCGTGAGTTTGCAGATGAAAAACGAACTGAGGAACGCATACGAACACTTCATAGCGCCTTCATGTGAGGCTCTCCTCGATTGTTGGTTGAATGATGTCGATCCACTACGAGTCGTGAATCGTCAAACGAGCGAGGGATCAATTCGGGAACCCCGTCGAGAACTTGATCGAGTGGTTTTCTGATTGAGCTAGGTACTTAGGGAGTGATTGCAATCCTTGACATCCGCAATTGTTTGCTGTGCGAGAATCGCAGCAAGGCGGTTTATGTCTCATTCACATGACCGACGAATATCGACGTCCTCTGGAATCCGATCTTCCTTCACAGTTGTGATTGTTGGTCGTGACCGGACGCTGAGAGTCATGGGCCATGCATGGAGCTGCGGAGATGATTGATTGATTGGTCGATCGGTTCGCGAATCTTTCACACCGGAACGTCCTATGATGCCGCAACCGACGTTGGAGCTTCCGCGAGAGAGCCCTCTGAAAGGGTTGCGGTGGGGGATTCCATCGGGGATCTCGTGGAGGTTCCCTTGAGGGTCCCCGAGAAGGGTTTCCAGGACGGACTTCCGCAACGAGTTCGGATGAATGGGGAGTGCTGCGTCCCGGCATTGCTCAATCGGGATTCTCTATTGGACATCGTTCCCTCTCTCGCCGAGACTGGGAAACAACTACTACTGTCACCAGAAAGTCAGCGGACCCCTAAGGAAATACAGGAATTTCGACTGCAGCTTGGTCAGTTCGAGGAGGGCCAGATGGCCCGAAAATGTTCGTTTCGTCCCCTGGAGCTCGGTACAGTCGCAACGAGCAGATGCGCTAAAACATCCGGAGTTTCAGAACTATTCTGTCATCAGGTAATTTCATAGTGTGAAGTATTATCGAGATTATTTGTTTCGCAACACCGCTCATTCGAACCGCGCCTGCTGCGGATGACTATTCGCGATGACGGCGGTGCGGTGGCGCCGCTGGCCTTTCCCGAATCGAATCATGTCGCTGCTTGTGTTTCTGAGAGCGGCCGCTTTCCCCACAGAGCTCGTGATTCCCCCGTGTGGATGAGATAGCTTTCATCAGCCTCTATACCGAACACGTTGATTATCAGAATCGTCAGACTGCGGGCCGTCTGCGCGCAAGAGGCGAGTGAGAGCTGCTGGAGACAAACTCGCAGCATTCGCAGTTTATCGCGGGTGTGTTTTGTTTCTTGTTCATCCCAACTCTCAGACTCTCGTCTCCGGACAAATTCTTCGCCTCCGTAGAATTTACTCGAAGTTCACGAACCGCGCGCAGCGAAGTCGTGTCGGATACCGGGTAGTCTATTTGGCTGTTGCAATCGGGAGGCGATGGGGATTGGAGTGTTTGGCTCTTCAGGCGCTGATGTTGAGGGTCAATATCTTTTTCACCATCGCGGAGGTGAGCCCGCTGCAGCTTATCTACGTAGTCTTCTCCGCCCTACAGCGTGACCCTGGAGGTCTTCGGATGAGGCTCGATTTCTCTAGACGGATCAACGGCGATTAATGAGAGGAATGGCGAGGAATTTAAATCCGAACAGTGCATTCACTCCACCGCTGGGAATTCCTAAAGTCCCCCGCGGAGCTCCTCAGCAGCATAGCGATTAGGACCACAATCGAGTCTCGATCGTGAGATCATACGCTCGATTCCCTCGGCCTCCTTGAGATCGATCGGCGAAACCGCCCGCAAGTTAAAGACGTTCTCGACGCCAGCACGCTGAATTCGAATTACCCGCGATACGGAGAAAGGACGGCTATTTCGCTTCCTTGCACGTCATTTTCGGCGCGTTGCGGGGAGCCGATTCGGAAACCGCGTCTGTGGAGGTTTTGTGAGCGTTGATTCCCGGAGCGGCTGGAGCTAGCTACTCCGGACAGACGTTCCCGATGGACGCAATAACATCCAGAGAATATCGGCGAAATTATTCGTTCTGTACGGATTCGGTGGCTCGGAGACGCTGAAATCTCTTACTCTCAAGCGCCCTGTGAACACCTGTCTCCCGAGAAGCCTCCGACCGCGGGAAGCTCTTGTCCGCGGTGGATCGCAGACGTCCCAGTGCTACTCTTCATGATTGATGCTTCGCCATTTGCCCCTACGACATTTGAGGGAACACGGATCCCTCTGATACCCTCTTCTTCTTTCAGTCAGCGTAATCCAAACCACCGCCTGATACCGGCAAGGATAGCAAGTTTCTCTACTCCGGCCAAGCATCGCCCGTAAGAGGCCGCGAGTAAAATCAGATGTCAGTGCGCACAGTCCCTTGGGATTTCTCAGCCGAAGAAATAAACGCTTGGAAGTTTTCGGATGTCCGATCCCGCGGTTGCGTCCCCGATTCATTTTTGTGGATTTGAAGCGACAGGTCATTGTCGTCAAGATTGATTTTCAATGTTTTCTCTCCTGCCTGGAATCCAGAGTGGCTTCACGCACCAACGATTGCTCCGGTGTCCTGGGCTGCGCCGAAGGTCGAACAAGGGGAAGGTTATCCGCAAGATCCCGTGGCAATGGCCCGCTCCGCCGCACAAGCAGCCTTCGATCCGGTCGGATACATTGCGTCTCTCTCCAAGTTATATGAGGAGAACGCCTCATTGAGCCAGACAAAACCATATTATGCTCTCGAACCTCCAAGTTACGAAGCGGCTACTGCCATGAAGCATCCCCCTGTGGAACCGGAGCGTGTGCAGTCAGGTAGATGATTTCGATAGCATTCATTAGAAATCGTCGATTCACGTCGGCCAATGTCTCTTTGCGGTTCTAACTCGAGGCAGCCCTCTTTCCTCACAGAGCCCGCTCCGAAGCAGTCGGAAACGAAGTCTTCTGCCCCAGCCATCGTCCGACACAATGAAGCCGCGAACGATAAGGGCTTCATAAGGATTCAGAGTCTTATCAGACACAGTGTTTACTTCTCACTCGCTTACCTGAGAAAATCCGGGGCGAAATACGAGGAGAAAGGTGAGTGATTCTTGCATTCTACACGAAAATTGTTCGCTCGATTGATCCGAGCTCGAGGTGTAGGTCCTGATCATCCTTAAGCACAAAGATTTACGGATTGTCTATCAAGCGTCATCAGACAATCGACTTCGCCTCTGGGCTCCATATCACGGTAAACTTATTGTATACTGTGTATAAATCCTTCATTTATGGTTTTGCTCGTATGCTGCCGATTGTTCACTTGAAGCGGATAGGGCATCGTATCTCACTGCAACCGCTCTCCCGCCAAGGCAAGACCCTCAATAAGGGGGCTAACTTCAGAACTCGAGATTCTCTCTCCCTACTTTGAATGACTATCGTCTCCTCACGTTTGAATACATTGGGAGCTCACCATCTACCTATCATCATATAACCCGAATGAGGCGATCTGGGCTCGAGTCCACTTGGTAAACATTAAACAGACACCGGAAGATGATGTACGACATATCAATCATAGTAATGATCAGGGCTGGGAAGTGAGCGCAGCCGCGCAAAGAGCCGTGATTTTTTACGGTTATCTCGAGCGATCCTCCATAGAGGAAGTCCATGGGGGCGCGAATCGCCCGGGAATTTCCAAGCTAATGCCGTGAATGATTCCCAGCCTTAACCATGTCTAGAGCCCGCGCTTCTCTAGCATTTATTCGAAATTATTAGTAATGTATCTGGTTGCGTTCGGTTCTAGAATGATGAAGATGAATTCAACTGGGGGAACATCTCAAATAAATGCTCGGAACTACGGGCTCTGATCATGACTTTTCGCTGGGGAGGCTCCTCAATGTAAGACAATTCATCAATTACAGCAGAGAGTCCTCCGTACTTGGCGTTGAGCCGCGATAATTCTTTCGCGCACATCCTCGTCGGATCGAAGGTGGCCCGTACGTGGAATACATTCTCCCATATTCTATAGAGCTCATGCAAAAAGCAGCATGTATGACGAGGACATCTGTACGGATGATAAAAACTGAACTTTGTCCAATCGATAATGGTCCATGAATAACTTTTATTACAGCGGATCACGGGAGGGTTCCACCGTCTCTACAGCATCTCTATGATTCGAAGGGTGGCGTCCAAGTGCTGAATAACAAGTTTCAGAGACTTTTCCTCGAAATCGCAAGATTGTTCCTCTCGTCGTGGGTCGCGGCTCTTCCCTGCGGAACGACTCCGGAAACTATGAGAAGAGTCCTTGTATTCAAGCCGCCCGCTCCCAGTAAGGAAGCCACAGCAGCAATGAACAAAGTTTCACTGCTGGTAGAACTCATCGTCAATCGGAAGAGCTTCTCCGTCTGGAAGAATTCGAAGACATCTGCAGACGATTCGATCGGTTCGCCGCGAGTCGCTGAGGTTTTCAGCCAGGCAATGACCGCGATAGCTAGAAATGCTTTCATCATGAACGGGGTTATGTTCGTGACACTCAACCCGTTCTTATGCGGGACCAGCTCGGAAGGAGGAGTTTATACTAGCGCCTGCTGGTTCTGTCCGTTCCATAGCCACCGGAAAAGCATCCTCGCTCCGACTTTGATAGATGTTTTGAATAGAATCTACATGGAAGAGCATGGTCCTCCAGGAACATCAGGCTACGTCGTGGAGAATCAAGCCGAGCGACATTTCAATGAGAAACATCGGGCGATAGAACATCCTGTCGCGCGTAGTCTCTTCGACACTTTCCCGCAACAAATAAGGGGTGACCATGGTATGGTTCTGAGCCTCGACAATTTCTGTCAACAAGTGCAATTAGCTGTCTTGACGGATCCTTTCGCATTGCAAGCGTATAAACTGAATGAGAAAAACTGCGCCATGGCATGTCTCCTGACCGAGGAGCTTGCGAGGAAGGTAGGTCGTGATTACAGAAACTATTGGATAAACGAAAACGAACGAACAAACCTCCCGTAGGATCCGTCTCCGAACTCGATCCTGAGGAAAATTGCAACATATTCGGTGTCTTTTAACTCAATAGATGAATAATTGAACTCTTTGGTGAAATCCGGCTGTGATCGAGCTTTTTAATTTTGGAGAGAGGAGGCAAGACTTCAGACGGAGTACCGATTGTATGTAGCAATAAATCAAATATTGTGAATATCAATGATAGTTTTCGGAGCTCTTATTCCGGGAAAGTGGTTAGGTGAGCATTAGCTTGACGGATACGGATAACCTCGGGATTCCGAGAAGAGATTGGCCAATCTACGTAAACGTGGTACACGCGACTCTGATCGGCTTTCTGACTCGCAACCTGCCGGTAAAGCCCCCATATCACATCACTACATCACGACTCGAATCCGTATTGCGCTCTCATCGCCGGTCTCGCTGAGACCGAGCGCGGTGAACCTATTTCATGGGGCGAGGATGATAGATCTTGCTCGGCTGTACAGATTGCCCTTCCTGGCCACCATCGTGATTATTTTCGAAAGACTGCGATTCCTGGCGAATTGAGATCGAGCTTCACGAGCCGAGATTGAGAAGCCCATTCACAGGTCGTCCTGCATCATGGAATTTCTCCCTGTGCTCAAAGACCCGAACAGCTCCCATTGCCTCGCCTTCTTGCCGAGAATTTCTGGGTCCCTCATCGCGAGGATTTGATCCGTACGACTCTCTACGGATAGGAGACCGATAACATTCGGGATCCCCATCTCGAGGATTCTCGCAGTATATCCTCACCAGACTCCGTGGATGGGAGTCCGATCACTCCCGGGTCCCTTGTTCTCGAGGATTCCTCAAGTTTCGAAAGCCGCGCCGAGCTCTCGATAGCGCCATCTGCCAATATGGCCGCCCCTCTCCTGCTGGAGAAGTCCCGGCCGCCGGCAGCCATCGGCATCCGATATTGAGAGAGGATTTGGCGCCAACTGATCACAACAAACACGCTCGAGCCAGTAACTTCAACCATGGCGGACCAAGAAAGTCGGAATATTCACGAGAATCGTCGAAATGCAATTTTCGAAGCCTTGCGGGCTGGACGGACGCCGAAACAAATTGTTGAGTTCTTCGACTATCCCAGGGCTACTGTATATCGAGCGGCTGCCGAATTTGCGGAGTTCGAACAGGCAGAGGGTGGCTCAGCCACGGCTACTCGGAAAAAGCGCCATCGAGAATCGACTAAACGAACCCCCGAGTTGATTAGTGCTGTTCAAGAAAGCCGTCGGATGGATCCGTCGGTCTCGATCAACGAGCTAGCGGCGAGGTTCTGTGTTGCGAGATCCACGATGCAGAGGATAATTCACGAAGATCTGCGGTAGGGGTCGTTGTTCACGATATCGGGATCGTTTTCCGGATTTTTGGTGAAAAACAGAATCGGGAGGAAAGCCAGGAGCGGCCCACTTCGATTTCGTCTGACCGAGCTGAGTCCCCCATACAGGGTGGACATCTCAAGCTGAGATGGCGAGATGAGATGATGAGATGCTGCTGCCACTTAATCACCACGCGATCGAGTTGACATGGAGCCGCCAACAGGTGAACCGGTCGTCGCAATCCTCATCGTCACCATTGACCCCGGTGCGAGGGTCCCGAAAAACTCCGGTTCTCTCGGGACCCCCGCGACATATCTGATTCAGAACTCGGAGGCCTAGGGTCGACGTCGAGAGCACAGTCTCCGAACACCTCTAACCCGCGCAGGTGTCGATTGTATGGAGCGAGTTTGGACCGCATACACGGGAGAGCACAAATGACCGATTGGGGGACAGGACCGGAGGAGGACAATCATTGCCGCGAGCTGAGCTCTAGTCTTTCTACGTACGGTATGGTCGCCCACTTAGGATAAACAAAAAACTATATTATAGGCGAAACCGCTGGGCTGTGTGAATCATGGGCAATGTTGAGACGGAGGAGGTTCGCTCGACGAGACAAGATTAAGGTTTCGAATGCATGGGAGCCCAGTGCATACCAGAGAATGATGTCAATTCCTTCCTCCTCATATATGGTTCTCCCTTAAGAATTCTGAGTTCCTCAATGTTACCCAAGGAGTCATGGAATAAAAGTTTCTTGTTCAGGAGACTCGGAGTGATTTCTCGAATATCCCTCCCTCCCTCCAGAGAGATATTCCTTCACTGAGCCTCATCAGGAAATTGTCGCCCACGGAGTCTGAATCTCGTCATGGTTCTGTCCCGACCGAAGCCGATTGGGGCACCATCGAGCCTCGTGAAACATTGTAGTCGATGAACTATTCTCATACACTCTGTCGACCTGACCCTCCGATACCTTCATGCCATAAACCTCGACAGTCTTGCGTTGATTCGTATGCAATCCCAAAGGAGTCGAGGGTATCCGTGAATAGTGGCCCAGACGAGCCCCTCATGTGTGTCGATGATTAGGTCATACGCGCATGGCATTCTTTTCTCTCTACCACTACCGGGAGCCACTCTGAGCTCCCTATACTTGAAATATCTCAGTCGCCTCTGAATGAGTAAGCTCCGCGGGAAAGCGGATTTCCGCTGAATGAGGAGGGAAACTCCATCCAAGAGTTTCTGTTCTTCGATATCCCTCCATCATAGAAACACCTAATTGACAGGGGTTAGCTCAGCCCTCTGGGGAGTGTTCCTTCTTTGCAGACGGAAAAAATGAGTGAAAGCGCGGATGAATGGCTCGGGCGTTGATCTCTCCACCGTCGGGGAGCTCCAAAGCGACGTGCCTTGTGTTTCTAAAGGATATCGGAGGAGCTTGTTCAAAAGAACGTTCTGCGGAGTTCTGTGGAATCTGAGAGACGAGAAAGAAGGCTGGTCGAGGCTGATTCCTCCTCGGGCGTACTGGCTGGCGATCTGATTTCGATGCACAAGGAAGAAACCGACGGTCGAGAACGAGGAAAATGCCGCTGCAGATGTATTTGCTCTTCCAGACAGAGCTACACCTTGGCAGACATCAATCCCACGTCATCGTATGCCTCAGCTTATCCCGTCGCAGGTCACGCCAAGCCGTCTGGCCAGCTTATCTGCTCAGGATACCGCTCACGGCTCTCGATCTCGAGGCTGCGCATTCGTTCGAAAAAATCGAGCCCTTCGAAGATCTCTGACATAGAAGGCGGGGAGGGTTGGTTTGATATGAAACATATTCATCATACATGGAGGAAACCGAAGGGTAAGGGGGTTATTCGCTAATCGCGCAGCAGCAGCGAGCGCTTTTCAACTATCAAATTTATTCCCCCTTGTTTATGCGATTTCGCGATCGTACATGAGGTGTGCATAAGTCTCGTATTCAGTGACAGCGAGTCTATTGCTCCCCTGCTAACCGAAGAACTATTGTCGACCTCGAGGCCGAAGAGGCCGCGAGACAAGCGATGGCTTCGGACTTGATGGCTGTGGTCCTGGAGCGTCTTCGCTAGTTTCCTCGTAATCGTATTCATCTTTAGGTTGCTCTTTGGGAGGCGTTTTCTTGCGATAAAAGGTTGAGCTGTGGATACGGAACCGTCAGACGGATCGACATGCTTCTGCCTGCTTCTCGGAGATGGAGTTATCGACCGAATCTCAATAGATGGACAGTATCACAGACCTGAATTTATGGGGTCTAGAGGTGGTGCGCCTCGGTCTCGGCAAGGGCGGCTGAGTGGCCTTTTTCTCGGGCGGATGATCATGCCCGAGATCTTCGATATCTGCGAGTACAGAGGAATAAGTTGATGCGTAAATCGACGTTCAGTTCAGCAATGAGTTGTAGATACGACTTCCGAATTACGAGTGGTCGGTCTCGTTGAGACGCTGGGCGAGGCTCCTCGGGAGGAGGGAGGGAAGGGCAAAGATGGCAACAGAACCCGTATACTGCTGAACATAGAATAATAGATAATGGATGTTGCGGAAATTCGGAATCAACGAAGATCACAAGCCTATCGCTCCAGGGAGCAGATGCGGAGCGATTTATCAGCTATCTCGCCAGATTCTTACGCTGAGATTCCGACAGCTGCCCATCTAGACCTCTCCTCCGGAAAAGCAAGGTCATAAGGACGCGCCGGTCCATCCCAGAAGATATAGCGGCGTGGTTACGGGAGTCCCGCTCTTCAATGAGCAGGGTGCTGTTCTCATCGCTCGATTCGGCTGCTCGGCTAAGTTCTGATATACTCACTCGCTGGGTGCTTGATGAAGCTGGGAAGAGTTGGTCTCGTTTTCACCGCAGGATGGGGGGAAGGACGATTTCGCAGCTTTAAACGGTTCTTGAAGAACGGATGTGAACCTTTTGTCGAATCGTCTTCTTCTACTGGGGCAGTCGTAGTTGTCGAGGAGCTTTCCGCAGATGCTTTCTTCGGAGGCTTTCCATCGATTGCCGATGAAGCGTCCCCGACAGCTGCATCGTAATCGTCGTCGTAGTCGTCATACGCAGGGGCGTCTGTGCTTTTCTTAGCAGTCTTCTTTTGGGCGTTAGCCGAGCCGAAACAGATCGCTAGGCCCACAGCTATTGTGATGTAGAAAACGCGCTGGAATATAATCGTTGCTTCACTTTTGCTTCGCCCGTACCGCAACGCGATCATGAGCGACAGCCTGTGTTGCGGATGCTCTGATCGGAGTATCACGAAGGGGGATCCCGACTGAGGAGACTTATCATCGATCAGAACACGAGCGCGAACTTATTGGCGAGCTCATGTACCCCATCGAGTCTTATTGGCGAGGTCAGACAGACGACAGAGAACTCCCGCGGCGATCGCGTACTGCGCAATCACAACTGCGTACAGCATCGAGATGGAATGAATATTTGGCTGATGTCTCGAGACGGTCATCCCGGTCTATTCCGTGGAATGCGCACCGATCCTCGCAGAGAGGAATAGGCGCGATCGAAATCATGGGATTCCGCTTTTAAGGTGAACCGAGCGGCCGAACCAAAATTATTTCCTCGGAAGAGCTGTTGCATGTTGCCAGCGATCGCCACAATGTATAAACATAGCCTGTGAATTTCAGCCTCAGGAAATACTTCGTAGATTCAGAGAGCAAGACGGGTGCTCATCTGTCGATGTGACTTTGCGAACTACCACTTTGTTTCAGAGTGGGTCCAACGTTATGCATATACGTTGTAGGCCGTTCTGCTTCCCCCGAATCAGCTCGAGGCGAAGTTCTTATACGGCGCTCGATACAGCACAGCCACCACCAAATATTAACGTCACCGAATCCGACCGGGACTCTGCTCCGCCGGTGAAAGAGTCTGCCGACAAACGTGTGTGCAGAGCTTTCCATCAGCATGCAGTATTAAGTGGAGGCGCCGGCGAACATCCACAGATCGGTATGAAGAATTCAGGGGAACGTCCTGGTAGGACTCTATGGGAGGTCGGTCGACGATTCTGCCGGAAGAGAGTCGGCTTCCACAGTCCGGCTGACTGATGGAATGACTTCAACCCTTTCAGTGCCATGAGGACGGCCGTTCGCTGGCTGAGGCCACCCCATGGCACTGAACGGGAGGGAGAACAATATGTGCTCCTTATAGAATAAATAGATAAAATAGAAGTCGGGTGGCTGCCGTCCGCTGCCTGGGTGTGGAGAATCCGGAATCAATCCAAAATCAAACTCCCGCAGACCGCGGAAGAGATCACGGTATGGTCCCCGGTAGGAGTCCCCGCTATTTTCTAATCCAGAAGCAGAGCTGTACAGCATAGGAACGCGCTACTCTGTGATTAAATGAGGACTTACTAAATAACATGAGCCCGAGTCTGAGTCGGAGCTCTCATGCTGACTCATTCGCGGATGCCCATCGGAAGGACGAATCGGACAACCGTACCGTAAGCCCGAAGCACGATTATCGAGCCATCGAGAAGCCAGCGAGAAAATACGAGGCTTTTGAGTGAACATGTACGTATGTAGAGTCGAGATGAAACTTCAATCTTGGCGCTTCCGTACAGGGATTGGATTCCGACAATTCAAGTCCGCATAATAGTTTCGCTCCCGTACCTATCTCTAGAAATGCCTCTTACCATGTCTGCCCGCCTGGTCCGTCGCAGAAACGTTGTGAACCTCTTGCGCAAAACCGGGCGCAGCATCAAGTGTTCGCTTATATCCGATGGCTTCAGGGGAGGAGCCTTTCGCGCGAAGGATGAAAAAGATCCCCTTCTCCATGCTTTCCGCATCTCTTGATCCCTCTCTGTTGTTACGCTTGCTTAATATGTATTAGCGCTGGCGGTCTACATATTTCCACTCCTTGCCGTGCGTAGGGGTCATCAGTCCTTACTAATGACACGGGGTGGAGGCTGAGAGAACGCCGCTCGCAAGAGAGATCCATATTCGATCGGGCCGACAAGCAGGACCTGAGTCTACCCTTAAACGCAGAACGTCAGCGGGTCTCCCCATATCCTGCATACGACTTTCTAATCGGCGAGGCGTCCGCGACCGCCTGCATCCCCCTCCCCTTCAATACAAACCGAATTTCCGGCGTTTGTTTGGCCGGGGCAGCACGGACCTCTTTCACCGCTCGATAGACGAATTTCTCGGTAGGATTCTCGACGAATGTTCGTTTCTGGCTTTAGGAAGCATCGATGAATATTCGAATTTATAACTCCGTACCTCCCGATAACAGTGGATTCGGTGATACTTTTTTACTTCTTTTCATCAGAACGGGACGCTTCGGATCGAATGAGTGGATCCGCCTTCCTGAGACCTCATGATAACGTTTCCACGGAGCTCTGGACCAGGCTCGCTTCAGATTCCCTACTTTGTTCGCGAACGGACTTGGGGGGATGAAAAGTAAAAGATTCGGCGCCGCGACCAGCGCATCCCCTCGGCAACGGGTTTTAGACTCCCTCTGGGTTATGATCTCCCCATTCCGCGCCGCTCAATGATCACGAGGATCGACAGATTGACCGGATGGCCAAGCCGATCCGGCAGATCGCTCTGTGAATGATACGAACTTTCTTTCTCTCGAGTCGCCGGCACGTTGTTTTTCGAAAATCGTGCGTATCGGCTCCGATCGCTTCTTGGACGACTGACGCATCATCCGCCCACCCTGCATCCCAAACGGGGTGGCACTCTTGGTGTGATTCATCGTGAAGTACTTCCCATAGAGGAATCAGGACCATCGAGACTTACACGCAGTCGGCAGTAAGCGGAGAAATGCTTGTCGAATCGATCACGCTCGCCCTTATAAGGGCAATCTCGTCGTGGCACGGACACCTCTGGGCAGAATCGGGACTAGAGAGCGTAGGTTCACGGGATATGGGCAATCTTGAATTGGGTAACCAATCAGAGCCGCAAGCCCCATGAGTCCTCGCGGGCTTTGTATTTTCGAAAAGCTCACGGACCAGACGCGCTCCCCACAAACGGGCCTGTCAACAGAGCACTGAATCTTACGCGTAAATCATGATTATCGGAGGCTTGAGGGTATAAACAGCGCCATCGCCATGACCGCGCATTCATGTTTGTTTTCCATGTCGTCGACCAGGAGCCCATGTGATACAAACTACGACTTGACGTTCCATGACGGCAGCAATCAACGGAGGGTGAATCATCGGTCCTCCGGAACCTTCTCCAATCATATTCGCGAAACGAATCATTTTTTGAATTTCCGTCAACACCATCACCGATTCGGACATTCACAATGTTCGGAGCATGCGCTGTAGAGGTATTTACGGGTGGGTTGCTTCCCTTCCGTTATCTTCCCGGAGGCATGCGCGGGCCGTCAAATCCGTTGAATAATTGGAAAGATGAGTTTTGACTCCGCAATGCACAATTATCGCACCGGGAACGATCACCTCGGACGCGGAATTTTCATGAGCTGTTCCTACCCCGGAAGGAGTACGTATGCCCGAGTGTGCCATGACAAGATTTATTGACCCTGATTGCTCATCGGAGAAATCTCACCATTCCTGGTTTATAGATACCTCTTCATTTCACAAGAGTCAACTGAAGCTTGATCAAGGCTATGAGTCCTGATAGCGTCATCGAAGGGAAGTTCTTCGACATGTTGAAATCATTATCGTCTTCAACACCACGGGATCTCTGTGGAGGTGCGAAGATCTGCTAATCCGGATGGTCCTTCTAGCAGCATGTTTCCAGAATGCGACAGAGCATTCATCGTCGAAATCCTGCTGCGACCTTAAGCGCTTCCGGTCGGAGTTTCGGCGAAGTATTTCATTAAATCGTCCTCCATCGCCTGGGAATTCGAAGAGCCACGAATTCGATGATATGAATGAGGAAGCGCCTAGACTAGGCAGGCTTTTGAAAATATCTGCGTATCGAGCTTCCGCGTTTACCAGAGGATGAGTTGTCGTTCCGTATCTCTTTACTGGTTGACCATTTTTATCGATGATGAATTTAGTGAAATTCCACTTGATGGCGCTGCCAAGGGAGGAAATCGATTTGGAACTCATTGAGCCGAAATCAACAACAACATTTATCATTGCGAGGAAGAATCCCTTATTAGTGGATCTCGCAACGTATGGACGTCTCAAGGCCAGCGCTCAGAGGGGAATCTCACTTGATCATGAAGCCAGATTGTTTTTCTTTAAGATATTTCCATAACGGATGAGCGTCGTTGCCGTTCACATTGATCTTCGCAAACAAGTCGAACGTCACACCGTATTTCCCTGGAAGCGACAAGAGGAAACGATGGATAGTCTGTAGGCCATGGCTCACCGAACACCTCTTCCGAAAGTAGTCGGCATCGACATTGGAGATGAAATCTCCTTCATCGTGGGTAACGCAGAGACAGAAAACGCGAAAATTTCGGTTCCCGGAGAGACGTGTTTACCTTGGGCGAACTTCTGGATTTCATCGTTGCCTCGTGCTTCCTGGTTACCGAATTGATTCGATGGGAACGCAAGAATTCTCAGTCCATTTTGCTCTCCATGCTTCTCATGTAATGCAACTAGTTCTCGGTAGTTGCGGTCGGTCACTCCTCATCTAGATGCCACGTTGACGATAATACAGACTTTCCCCCTGGAAGACCATTAAAGAGTGAGTTCGACTTTACAAAAGCAAGGTCACCGGAGATAGATGCGAGGAATCGCACGGAGAATCAGACGAGGTACTACGGAGAATAATCACCTGTATTTATCCAGGGAGACATTGTTCCCTTCGATGTCGAGGGCCTCGAATTCGTAGATGGACTTTGCGTTCTTCCAAAAATCCTGCCAGGGGAAGGAAGCCTGATTCAGATTTTCTCAGTACCTTTGTGCGTCTTCGATTTTTTCCTATTCGGAGAATGCATATCGCATGCCGGTCTTCGCGTGAAACGCTCTGCACATCCTTGCGGAGTCATGAATTGCGCATTATCCAGCAGGGGTTACTCACCATTTCCAAGCCGGTATCTGAAACGAAGAAACGAGAACAATTCACGAATCATCTATGACCTTGCCACTGTCTCGACTCGCGATATGGGAGAGAAAACACAAACAATCTTGAGCGAGAGAACATCCTCACGCGATCCATGCAACCCAACCTACTACAGCGCGGTCGTTCGTGGCCGGAAGAAAATTGGAGAATTCAGCAAGCCTCGCTCAGAGCTCACGACGTTCAGGCTGGATTGCCTGCTCCGACTAGGACCCGTAGCCGCCGACACGGAGGGAGATCGTTTCGCGGGGATCTAGATCGCCGCACAGGCTGCCTCGCAACTGCGGATAGCCTCGCTTATCGTCCCGCAAGCCGCCGCCGCCAGGTGCGCGAGTTCTGTCACTAGCTCGCAGATTCTATCACTAGCTCCCGGATCCTGCCACCTGCTCACAGATTCTGTAGAGCATCGCCTCCAATGATATTTGCGGATTTCTCCGTGGAAGAGAACAAAATTTACTCTTCACCGTAGTAAACTCTATTCGAAGAGCAACAATCGAATTTTCCTCTTGCTTCTAGCCCCAGCGACTGCACTCGTTCCTCAATTCAGACAAATGATCAGCTTGCTTGCTCGACGCCTGCCATAATCGACCTGATACCATCCCTAACACGGCTCCATGCCCTGCCACCGAGCGTTTGCGATCGCCCAGCTTGCGTTCGAGCCTGCGGCCCGACCTTCTACTTATTTATATTTGAGGACGGAAAGTCGATTGGTCTAATTTCTCCTACTACAACTACCTACGCATTCACGGAGGAGTCATCCGCGGAACTATAACATTGTCGTCGACGCTGCTTGCCGATCAGAACTCACCTTCGATCAGTTCAACCGCTCACAGTGCTTCTGAGAATGAGAAACACTCGGTTCCTGCTTTTCTGTTCTCCCGTGATAGTCGGAGAGGGAGTGCAAAGCGATTCTTCTGGATAGACGGCCTGCATCGTCTCAGCTGGCATCGTTGGAAAATATGCAATAATACTTCTACTTCAGCGCTTTGCCATCGTCGCCATCACGATGAGCTCACAGAAGTTTTGAGATCCTCGGCATCACTGAAATCGATGGATTCCTTGGAAACATTACGTTTTAAGTTTTAGAAAACAAAGAAGTGCCGACGAAGCCCTGTTCTCAAATCTAGAGATCCTTCATCCATTCGACGCCTCGATGAATCGGATCTGATGAGAAGTCAAGGTCACGCCCTGCGATTTCACCATTGGGGATGCTGTGCACACGAAATGATTATTGGCACGGGCATGGATCGATCGAATGACTTTCCGTTCGCTGAGCGCTCCCGCGTTTCCTCCTCATAGCATTCGCGCACTATCTGAACGAATGTACTTCTGTTGCGGCGGTCAAGTCCATTCTTCCAAGGAGAAGGCTCATTCAGTGAAACTGGCAGAAGTCGACTCCAGTATTCGAAAAGGACAAGAATGAGTCACGAAACCGACTCCACGAGTTTTATCTGTGACCTATAATGGAGGAGCTCCTATTCCAACTTCTTCAATATGAGAGAGGTCCCATTCTGATTTCCGCAATATGAGGGAGGTACTTTTCTTTATCTAAGACAAAGATAGAGGTTTCACGTCTTCGCTAGATATCCGATACTTGTGTATTTGACTTTATAATGGCAGAGAGTCCGAGGCCAGGGGAAGGTATCGCTGGCGCGATGTGGGGAACGCTCAATGAAGCTCCGGAGCACAGGTCTCTCCGCGGTTCCAACAAAGTCGACCATCATCGAGGTTCCTGAGGTCATCTTTCCGCTTCGCGGTGATGTACGACGAGGCCCATGTCGATAATTGACCTCTTCCGCGGCAGGATCATAGGACCCGGATTTTCATCCGCGAGGCGTCCCCTCAGACACAAGCACAAGCGCCGCTCCGATGGAACAATCGCGACCGATTGGTCGAAAGTCTCAACCCCCGTTCTGGGCAGCGTACTGCCCTCGATGAAGAGATCCTTCATCCCCGGACACAGGATCACTTATCTTCGGAGGGGAAATCTCATCACTGAGGATCGGATATGGTCTGGATCGATGGAGGAAACATCCCGTGCCGACAGCGCGGCTGTTCTCCTGCGTACGACCTCTCCGCACGAAACGGATTCCTCCAGGAAGGAGAGTCGATTCCCAGAGATGGGAGAATCGATCGAGCACGTCAAATGCAGGGGTGAGAATCGATGACCGATTTCGAGCGACTCTGGCCTCCTATTCGGATCCTCGTTCCAATCAAAACGTCGCAATGCCTTCTCGAGGTGGATCGCCTTTACTCTTGGTACGGATACGTAAAATGTATTCGTGGGGACCGTCCTTCTCCGTCCTCGGCCACGATACGACGGGACAGGCCTCAAGAGCCTCCTATGCTGGTATCGGGCGCTAAATGTTAGGTCACAAACGTTTCTCATGGCCTCGGGGCCTTCTCTTCGCTTATCCTCCCTATTCGTATTCGCGCTAGAACAGCTCTCTCCTCTTATCTGCGACGAAGGGGCCGTGTCTAGGATTTTCACCTTTCGCTCTCTCACCACTTGTCGATGATTCTCGATGGTGATGTTTTCTATGGCGCTTGATGTTGGCACTCCGCACGAAGTGAGCCTACACAGTGGGTCAAAGAAGAGAGCACTTGAAAATAAATTTCCAGTCTTGAGTCCTCGGTCTGCACCGAGAGAAAAGAAAGTTGAACGAATGGCCGAGGAGCTGTCATGGTCCTTCGTAGGGGCATAATGACGTGAAATCGTAAGTTCCTTCCGGAGAACTCCAATGAAATCGCCCCCACTGATCTCCGCGATCATATGTCTGGCTCGACTGCTCCCTTGATAGTCTCCTACCTCAGCAGATGCCTTTCACACAAGCGGGATCGGGACTCCTGAGCTATATCCTTAGCGTCTACTAGGAGTTCCCGGGATGGTCTTCCGTGGCGGTGTGAGGGAGACCGTCGGCAAAGTTTGAAGAAACAAATGTTTCTTGATCGGGAGCAGTCAGAACCTGAATCATATTCGCAAATGCCTCAGCTGACTCTTTTGGACGAGCCCTGCGGCGTTCTCGTCAAACTGTCACCAGTGAGTATGCGCTCGTCACAACTCAACAAGGTGAACGATTGTCAAATACATGACTATGGCGGTATTCGAAACTCGACTCTGACCTACAGGACAGGCGAACGGCAACGAGACGTAAGGCCCGGGAAAAGTTTGACAACGGGATCGTGTTCACTGCTCAGAGCCTCGAGGACAACGTCATCCTGTGCGCGACCATCGATGCAATGGTGAGAGCGCCCCTCATCATGAGCAATGATCTCAATGCTATACGTCCGACGGTATTCGTACGGGGAACGAAAGGAAACTTGGAGTGAAGAGTCACGATCCATCCCTTCCAAGGTACCCACATGGACGGGTTGCATCCAGATCGGCGTGACCGCAACCGATCCTCGACTCTTCCCTGGCGTTCTCCCGACCTCGGCTGCTCATCTCAAAGGTTGCACGTGGATCTACACGGGGTCGCATGTGTTTTACAACGGTCGTCAAATCATCGAAAAGTATGGTCGTGAAGACCTCGATAGGTTAGGTGACGGCGACAGCGTGGGGGTTGTTCGGCGCTCTGACGGTAGCCTACATTTCGTTGTCAACGGTGTTGACCAAGGAGTGGCTGCAGTGAACACCCCGTCGCGTCTCTTCGTCATCCTCGATCTCTACGGCAAATGCGCACAGGTCACAATCAGTGAGCCAATCTCGGTGGATACAATGAGTGAGTTATGGATCGGATCGTCGTCGGAGGCCACCCAGCGACTTTACGTTCATGGTCTGATTTACCTTTGGGCGTGACAGTGTCTTTTTAAGACGAGGGATATGTTTTCTTGCAGATCTTTTCTCGTTGACTTCCCCGAACACCCTCTCTCTGGCGGATCAGATCGTTCCAGGCTTAGAATCGATAATTGGTGGGCTTTCTCCACCAGCGGCTTATCAGAACGGAGCCTCGCCGCGGCTTCGAGATTTCCAATGCATGAGGTATAGATTCCCTTCTGGTAGAATTTCGTCGTCATCTGGACTTCTGGACTCAGAAGACGAGCCTCTGCGTCTACACGAGAAATGCGGCAGCAGCATCAGTCTCACGCCTGATAAACTGTCCGCCGAAAGAATCCATCCCCTGGAACAGTTCAATAACGGTATCGTGATGAGCAGCCGAGCTCTGAGGTGTGTACCGAAGCAATTCATTCGGCGTCGTCGACACCCTCCCGAAGGATCTCGTTCCGGGCTAAGCAACGGAGAGTATTGATTTCTGGTATTTTTCCTCTCTCTTCAGGGATAATGAAATTTTCGAAATTCGTCTTGATATGATCATCCAGAAATGGAGCGGTTCGTTGGAAATAGGGGTCACAACCCAGAATCCAGAGAGCTTCGAATTCCCCGAAACGTTGAGTCGTGTGAAAACGGTGTCTTCAGTGGGAGACCTTGAAAACCTCCAGGTGAATGCGTAGCCTGTCCCTTCCGTCGGCGTCGCTCTACTTATGCCAATGATTACGCAATGATATCCGTACAGCTTCGATGTACTCGTCCATATCGTGACCTCGATCGCTCTTGAAATATTCCAGTCCGGTGACACGATAGGAATCATACGTCGTCCGAACGGTTACCTCCATCTCGTTATCAACGGCGCTGACCAGGGGGCGGTGGCCACGGACGTCCCGGGCAATGTTTATGCCGTGATCGATCTCTACGGACGGGCAGCGAAGATCTCCGTTGTTTCCCAAGATGCTGATGAGGTTCGTAGGCTTAATCTCTCTCTCGCCATGCTAGTATAGCCGTCGAAATCATACAGTAGTAGGCGTAATCAGGCCGGCGCTCGGAGACGCTCCACCAAAAGGACCGCTCCGAGCCCCCGACGGGAATTTTCCGCTTGCGACCTCGATCCGACTCGAGGTTTACATATTCCTGCTCCGTGTCAGGCGCATCAGAGGCGAAGACCCTCGCTGAGAAACAATCGGGACCTTCGATCATCCGCGCTCCTCGCTGCTTCTAAGCTTAAGAAGCTTGAGAAGCGTTCAAATACTTACGGATCGACGGCGGACTCTCTCCGCGTTCTCATGATCGCCTATTACGTAGTGGATTGCGCTATTAGTCGCGTACCACAAGCCATGACCCTATGGAGCGTCTAACCGACAGATTTCCGCTAATTCCAGGAGGAGGGTCTGATCGATTGGCACAACCTGGAACAAGAATGCTGGTCCGAACGCCCACTGTGCTTCGCTGCGACCGATTCAGTCGCTTTCTCGACCGATCTCAGAACTGCGACTTTCGTGTGAGTTCATGGCCTTCGTCCTCGGTCCAGGACAACTGGGCGGAATTTATTTGGGCAAATAGACCAGGAGGGCAAAAGCCAGCTGGGCAAAAACTAACTGGGCGAGAATAGTCCCAGCAAATACAGACTGGATTAAAACCATGTTGACGAAGGGCACAATTCCATACTCTGGAAGAGGGCATACTCCGGGAGACGTCGCAACATGATGAAGCCGAGCTCCACAGGGAGACATCTCGAGATTGAAGATTTCATCATGTTTCCTTTGCTGGGCACGTCGCCCAGCGATTCAGAACCTGAGCTCGGACTCTGTTCCGTGTTGAGATCGCCGTCAGTTTTTCTTCCACTTGAGGTCATCCCCCTTTCTATTTCGAGCCGATGGCCCTATCGGTATATTCCAGCGCCCGAAAGCTGGGAACCGAGCGAATCAGTGATCACGGATCCATCCAATTAAGAGCGATTCCCCAAAGATACTCCGATTCCGTCAAGTTTCTGGCACTTTCATATGTATGTTCTCATCAGCCGCCACGCGTTTACTTTCCGTCCTCGGAGCCGGATTTTCGGCGACGAATCCTTTTTCTTGGAAGTCGCGACCTTTCTGAACTTTCTCGAGTCCCTTCGCAAACTCCCAGATCGCTCCGTGCTGCGCACCGAACGGGGTCTACAGTCGGCAGAATTGTAGGTGCGAGCCTTTCCGTCGTTAGTCCTGTGGGGATCGACCTTATCTCGATCGTGAACTGCGGTGCTTTCCGGATCGGTTAACCGTCTGGCCGAGTCTCGCCAAGACGCCCAGCGTAGGTATCCTCGGAAAAGTTCAGAACAGAAATTACCTCGGCGGGCAAGGAAGTTGATGCTTCAGAAACAGCGTTATCGATTGCTGCCGGGACAGCGAAGGCCAGAGCGGCCATCATTGCCGTCTTCAGCGGGAAATCATCGTCATCCCGTATCGACCCGAAGTCCCTCTTGGGCATCGCGGAGCTTTCCGTTGTTTGCTAGATGGAAAATTATTCTTTTTCATATCATGCACAATTCTGGTGTATTCTGGTATACGATTCCTCCCTCCGAACTGAAAGAAGAGCGTACGCGACTGACGTTTCGCACCTCGACCGCTCAGCGAGAACAACATATACCTACGAACACAATCATCAAATTCTGCCGTAGGAGCCGCGGCATGATTCTGAGAAATCCTTTGATTGAGGATCGTTCGACAAAAACCTGGGCGGAGAGCGGCGAGGCGAGGCTGGCCGTGTCGTCGGCGTACGTACAACTGTCGTTCTCTTCCTTCGTACATATTTAGTTTAAGAGGGATTGTAGGATTCTCTCGCTTCGACATAAAACCGTCGTTCACCAGACTCCGGCCACTCGGTCGAGATCGATCGATTTTCACCGAAGTCGATTTGCCCAGGTGGTTTTTGCCCCGTCGTCCTCGAGTCCTAGAATCGGAACTGCATCCGGAAGCTCTTCCTGCCGCTCAAACTCATTTTTGTTCCCCTTCAGGAGCAGCGGGAGCGTGCAATCAGCGACTTTGCTCACCGAACGTCCCTTACAAATAGGCGAAACTTTTTATCTGAAACTAGTTGCCCTTCCACTTGGTGCTCACATTTCTATCGGAGTCTCTTGTTCTTGCGAGAACATTTCCCATGAGAACGGGATTTGGTTTTTCCCCTCGCGTGGTTTATCGCTCGATGGGATCTTGGTCGACTCGAACTACGGCAGAAATATCGTCACCCAAGTCAAGGTAGGTCGATCGTCCCGACGCAGGGCGTGGGCTCATCGGACGCTCCCCGACTCATAAAGACGTAAGAAGGATATTACGAATTCTCTGTCCACAGAGGGAGGATCGGATAGGCGTCTACATTTCTAGAGAAGCCGGAGTTCATTTCTATTACAATGATCGGGATCTCGGAGTCGCGATGAAAGGAGCTCCGCTCCCCCTATGGGGTGTCGGCGCCGTATTGCTGGGGGGACTTGCTCCTCAGACTTGCGTAGTCAGCCTCGTTCAACCAGAAATACGTAAATATTTCCTTCGATATCCTCTGCGTGCTCAAGAGAGCGAAATTGCGGTTCCAGTGCTCACGACCTGCAATGTTAAAAGCGACCTTCCCGACTTCAGCGATTCCCGAAGACCCTCAGCTCGACCTCCGGTTCCACACCTCGTGTCATGGCTCGAAAGCTTTAGTCATCAACAACGGCTTAACAGTCGTACGTGCGGAAACACAGAAGGATCCGAACCTGGCGTCGGTTTCGACGAACCGTCCGTTGAAAGATAATGAACTATTCGAAGTCGTCGTGGAAGAAATTGAAGATCGTTGGACGGGTTAGTTTCGGAATAGCGTCCTCGCATGGCTCCCCCGAGGGTGAATAGCGAGACGAATCTATGATAACGGGAAGTCCTCGAAGCGAGCAAGACTTCTCCGCAGAATCACTCTGACGCAACCTGCATGGTCTCAAAATTAATTTTGCCTCTCCTCATCTTTCCCAAGGATCCCTAGAAATCGGAGTGACGAGCAGGCCTCCGGAACAGCAAGCCGAATCGAATGCGGGTGAAGCTCGACGGGAAGCGTACTTGCTGTCCGGATCGACCATCACGTTCGGTGGCGCAACCCTAAATAACGACTACGGCTGTGATCTTGATTCGATTCGTGTTGGAACAAAAGTCGGCGTTCAGCGAAGAGATGATTCGTCCTTGCACTTTTACCTCGGTAAGTCGTTCCCGGAGATCTGGGCACGGCGTGATACACAAAGATATATTCACATACCCATGAGAACTCATCCCCGAATTCTCAAGGAAAATTCTCAACTCTGAGTAATGAAACTGTCCTTGACCTCGCAGATGGCAAGGATATGGGTGCAGCTTGCTCGGGGCTCCCCTCGAAAGTATGGGCCGTGATCGACATGTTCGGGCAATGTGCGAGGCTCAGCATCGTACACACACCGCAGCAGATAGCCGCTGGCTCCCCTAATGGGGGACCTCAAGGTATTTCAATTAGAGCTGCCCTGCATCCTGATGACATGTCGTGTGGCGAGAAGATTCCAGGAACCGAGAGGAGCACTCAATCGAACTACTTCGCTTCCAGCTGCTTCAACAAACCATCAATTGAATAAATCACGAGGCCACAATGTAGTGCTCCGGAATGATGCGCGATCAGCCTGCCGAATCTCAGGATACGACAACGGGTTGATATTCAGCCACGGAAGTCTCGATCTCGACGAGCTCTTTGAACTCCAAATCGAGCCGGTCGGTTCCCCCTTTTAGCTTTGCGACAGCCGGTGAATTGATCCGAGCTGCCCATAAGGCTCGTGACTGACAGGAAAATTGGCTCTCCAGGTACATAGCACGGTGCTGACAGGCAGTGTGATCATCGGCCTCACGTCGCTGGATCCGAAACTCGGAGCGGCTCGATACAGATCGTACAAGAAACTGCTCGAAGATAAATCTCACAAAACCTATCTCGTTGTTGGTCGCAAAGTAAGTTCTCAGTCGCTGCGCCGACATGCATACGTCAGTCTTTCAGTCTTCATTTGGCCTGGAATTCTTTTCGGCATTCCATGGCGGGACAAATGAGAGCTCCTCTTCTCGTGCAGGTTTACAGAAATGAAGTTCTAGTCAAAGAAAATTATGGCTCGACAGCTTTATTGAGGGCTACGGCCGGAGACCGAATCGGCGTTGAACATTGTGCTGATGGTGAGTGGTCCTTATTGGAGATAGGCGTACGTCAAGGCCGCGAAAGGATGCGCGAGACTCTGCCGAATATCGAGTGGTGCTCCGAATGAGTAATACGAAAGCCGAGGAGTGTTGCGATGTTCCGAAGGAGAGGCCACGAAAAACGCCCGTGCCTAGTGGCATCGATATCGATAATAATCATTGATCATTGTGGGTCAGGTTATGTCAGGATTCGCTCCAGGTGAAGCAATGGAATCATGAGATCCCCTCTTCCTCTAGGCACGATGCACATTTACGTGAATGGCGAAGACCAAGGAGTCGCTGTGTCGAATCTGCCACGGGATTTATTCGCTGTTTTCGACCTTTTCGGTCTGGTTGAAAGCGTGCTGCTCTGCAGCAGCTCCTCCGTACCTAGTCGTCACACGCCAAATTGTTATGAGGTTAGTTTGGGATTGTCGGGAATCTCGTGACCGTTCGAGAGAAGGCCCATACTCTTATGGATTTCAGAGCGCATTCCCTGAACATATTCTCCTCCTGACGAGAATCATCGTTTCAGTATCCTGCTCCGAAAGCAGTCATTCACAAGTTCCTCGATACAAAGCACGGAGCCAATATTCAACTATCGAATTCGAATCAGACTGCTCGTCGAATAAACTCTTTCAATGACGGTATCGTCCTCTCTGCGCAGCCGATATCGGTAATGACTCAAGATGTTGGCGACGAGTCCTCCTGTCGAGCGCCGGTGTTTCGGCTTCTGAGATTTTTCCTCGAGGGATCCTGACCGCCCCTCATTTTCCAAACATTTCAGGCTGGCCAGACATTCAGCATCCGCCTGTCACGTGTTTTGACGAACAAGTGGAAGTCTTCGTTGTCGATCGGTATTCTAGGTGAAGTGCCATCCTGTTTGCCGTCCTCCGTGTTGGATCTCCTCAAACTCTGTTGGCTCGTAGTGGGGAAATCAGTTTACATCGATGGGAGAAAGGTTCGTGGTCTGATAGCCGAGACGATTTCCGATCGACAACCCACATGAATCGAATGGGTATAGAGAGGACGATAGACTGAAGCTCCGCTTCTCGGAACAGGTCAAAGACAACTACGGTCCGAATCTTGATCTCTTGAACGAACAATCGACGGTTGGAATCCACTTCGATTCGTCGTATTGTATGAGACTCATCGTGAATGGTGTCGACCAAGGCGTCGCCTGTGATCAGGTGTTTGCTTCGAAATGTTTCGTTATCTGTGATCTATATGGACAATGTGAAAAAATCGATGTCCTTCAAGAGGGCGAGGAGTTCAGCCCTGAGGAACTATCTCTTGAAACTCCCGAGAAAGCTCACCTCGACGACAACCAAGGCCGCAAAGAAAACTCTCAGGTGGGAGGGAGGAATCCAATGGAGAGATTCGCAAAAACGATCAGGACCGGGACGAGCTTATTTCCCAACGATATTCTCTCAACATACTCGGATTCCAGGAATCACGATGTCTATTAAGCGATAAACTCCGGCTCACTCTGCAACCCTGTCAGCATCATCGAATTGCTACCTACATAATACGGAACGTTCTCTGCTTACCGTGGCATCTTTTCGATAACCAGATGTGTTCTTGCGATGCTTGCTCTCTCCTGACATACTCGACGAGTAAATCGTTGAAGAGATGTTCGATTTTCTCCCTCAAATGCAGCAAGGTTGGAGCCATGGATATTTCTATCTGGAATTCGCTCGTGAATGTCTTTTCATAGAGTTCTTCAGGACTGTTGGCTGAAGTTGCGGATCTCTTTCTCAGAATCAAATGTCGTGGAACACCGCCTTCGGTATCGGAATTCCGCTCGGAGCTATTCGTAAATGCATAGACCACGGTCAGCTGCTTGCGGAGCAAGAGTTGGGTCTTTCCCCGGTCGTTGACGGGAACTCGAAGCACTACGACGTGAAATCGTCATCGCCGATCGTCAAAGTGACACCGTGCTTGCGCTACGCTTTTCATAGCGCCCCGCTCCTGAGGTAAGTCGAGGGACTCACCTCTCGACCCATTGTACCCTTTTTCGTGATTGGAGACTTTATATATGTACATATATTTCGGGGACAAGCGAGAACTGAAAAAATCTCTCCCATCTCCACAGGGCGGATCATGATACGGCCGATAATACCTCAGTCCAAGCTAAAGTTGTCATACAAGCTCTGATATGCGCAGACTCATACCAGAAAATCTTCCGAAGAGTTGACGCAAGCTCCCTGGGGAGTCCCGCCGACATCAGCGAACCAGAAGTCGAAGAATGGCATACCAAGGAAAAAAGTGCCACCCTGGTTCAAGCGGTTATTGTACGCGTAGATAATGTCAAGTGAAGGACATTTCCAAAGCTTATATATCGCGAGAATATCCGCTCCTTCGTTCGGATCGACCACAATACATTTTTGAGAACTCAGATGGAATCGAGAATATGCTCCCGGTCGAACCGATATTTTCCAACGGCCAAGGGAACCCAGACTTCCCCGAATCTCTCGCTCGCGTCAGCGATTCATCGAGTTCCTGCTCATCATTCGGACCCACGCAGTCTTGGCTTGTCCAATCCCAATCTTGTTGTCGTGGGAACGCTCCGTAGGCTGAATGGCCCGTATCCGAGTCGTCTAGGCTGATATTACTAAGCTCCTAGTTTTAGGCGTTCGGTGAACTCACATCTTGTGTTGTTGGAAACCATTGAAGAGACTCATCGAAGTTGAATCCCACTTGTTGCGCTAATTTCCAAAGAAATTCGCGGGCAGCCGGGAGGATTTGCAGAATAGGAAACACTATCCTCCGAGGCGGCTGTGATTCTACAGGAATAAAACCGATTTTGCGCTGTTTCTCAACATTCGCATCTCCCATGTCTTCATCGCGCTGCGAGCACGCGGTAGGCGGTAGCTCACGTGAAGCGGATCTCTTCCAATGACTATGCATTACGTACCGGAGGTCGCTTCGAGTTTTAAGTTCCGGAGAGACTTATGAAATAGAGAGGGAATAGAGTTCCGTTCCTCTCCTATCTCCTCCTGCCAGTTTCGGTATCCTTGAATCCTCCGCGAGTCTCCATGCTCAACTTTTGTTCTTATCAGGCCTACAGACACAGGGAATCCGACTGGGAGAAGGGAAAGTTTACTCTGTCTCCCGACTCGCAAGACATTGAGGGGAGCTCGTCCCCTTTTTTATTCGGAGCCATTTCTCTCTCCCCGATCCTGAGGGGTGGGACATTGAGCATCTCTGGAGTGGAGATCGGTATCTCCTGGAGATGCAGGTCGAGCCAATTGTCGGAGTCGAGTCGATCCCGTCAGGGAAACTCGTTAGCGAGACCTGGTTGTCGGAGCGGGTATGAGGGGGCGAACTCAAAAACGATCGAGAGGTTCATGCTGGATCTGGACAGGATTCCCGATGATTTGACCCTTTGCTCCCCCGACAGCTCCGATGAGGCAAGAGAAACCGTTTCGGGAAGAGCACAGAGCCAGAACTTGCCTGCGGCCAAATGTGACGCATGAAACATCCGAATTAAAAAAATAGTTGGGTTCTACACGATCCCACGTATCCGGGACTCACGCAGTTTCAGCAGAGAGGCTTGCTGGGTTGAGGGTTACACGGGGTTGCGGAAGATGTATCGAGCATGACGTTTTGCAAATAGGTTGGAGAAAAGGTGAGCTCTCGCTGACAATGCCGTTCCCTGGGGTCAGAACTTCGGCAGAGTGAGCTTGAGAGCCTGATGCTTCCGCGCCGCTTCTTGCGACGATACGGGTGCGTGACTCGACAATGAGAGTTAGCGGAGGGACTCTTTGCTTAGGTCTATAGATAGGCGGACCGAATCGAAACCTGCTAGAAGCGGAGGAACGGCTTTTTCTATAATGTTTGACCCCGGTCGTCCTGGATGGATTCCTGCTTCAAATTTCCCTGTATATCGGGTCTATCTGTTGCAAAAGGGTCGGCTCATCGATGAAGACAATCGTCGATTTGCCGGGATCGACTACATTCGGACCAGTCTCGCCCATTTCTGCTTTCTCAGCTTCCGATTCGGTATACAGAAGCTGGACGTCCCCGCTACACGGTTTCGAGACGGAGTTCAAAGGAGCTCATTCAATCATTGTAGAGGCGGTCACCCCTCAGTGCTGTATCTATCAAGGGTCTGCGCCGAGATGGGGATGTTACGTTTGGTGCAACGGTATAGATTCTGCCCACCCAGGTTCCCATTCTCAGGAAACGTAAGACTGAGGATGCTCCGTCGGCTTCGCCCCTCGCGATGTTATAAGACGCCCACCCAGTTTTGATCAGGGGAATACTAGCTCTCAAAGTCTCCCCGGCCATGGAGCTCTGTCTTCGCGAGTTTCACCCGACTCCCCTCCTTCCCGGAGAGCGGCTGGCTGAGAGCGATCCTGATCTACCGTCTTCGAATAGAGAGCCCCGAGCTCACAACACTTTCGATCGCGATTAGGGCTATGGAGGTCAAAGGCGGTAAGTTCCGCAGATGGACTCAAGTCCTGCTGCCTTAATAGATTCTGATCACACGCCAAGGCCCACGAGACAAAGTAGCTTATTGGAGGGACTCAAAGGCCAGTCTCGGGGGGTCCAATCAAACTCGATGTTCCAGCAACGCATGCATGATGTTGACTTGCACGTCCCGTCCCACGCTCCAGAGACAGCGGACTTAAGCCCGGCCGACTCGCTGCGGCTGATTTTCTCATTGCGTGAATTCATCACGCAAGCAGTGGAGAGCGATTCCCTGATCATTTGCGTATGCTCTCGCTGGATATCGCCTTTTCCAGTCATGTAGTGCTCGCAGCAAAGAGGATATACCAGAAGCAGAGAAGACCGAGGCCGGAGATGCACGCATGTAGCATGATTAGAGAACTATAAGCCGGCGACGGCGTGCAGTGATGTTGTGGCGTTCTCCCCTCGCCGAAAAAACGGTAAGAGACACTTCACGGCCCTTTCATACAGCGACGATGCGGCTGTTGGAATGCTGCCCGTCCGAAGGCGCCCACCATCCGCACAAGAGCAAACAAATTGCTCTGAAGCACAAGAGTGTTTCGAGCTGAAAAGTGAATTGTGAATCCTACGCCTAGATAGCCGCGACCTTCGGATACCCCAAAGTTCACGAGTGCGGAGAGCTGTTCCAATATAGTCTCAAAGGTAATGTTATCCCTGGCTAAATCTTAGATGGGACTCCCGCTCACTTTTTCCGAGCACGAGACGTGTTCTGCGAAGCTCCGCGACCATGGCGATTCCCGATCCGTTACCGCGGTAATCGAACCGAGAGTCTGCTGGATGAAGTCGATTTGCTACGACTCCCTGCTGTTTTGCGTGGCCTATCGGCGAGATCGAATGCCTGCATATTCACGATCGATATGCTCAGATTGGATTCGGAAGTTCTCGAGCGTCCGATCTCGGATGCGGAAACGAATTTTCTCAAGAGAGGAGCGTCATGATGTTGAGAATTCATTCGCTGAATAAAATCAAGTTCAGGTCCGGCTCGAGGTCACTCCCGCTTCCGTTCATGTGGGAAAGCCTCGAAACTCTAGGCGTTCATCGTTCTCATGGAAAGTCCAGAGTTCCGACATCATATTTTCATTATCTAAGCCATCATTCTGACGAGAATGAACAAACGTCGGAAATTCCACCTCGGCTGCGCGTACGACACTGAAGTGACAGCCGCGCTAGCACATTCCGATCTCTAAGCTAGACAAATCGGACATCGCTGACCCGGGTGTTTGAATTGTCCTGGAAAGCGCTTTTCGCGCGTAGACGTCGCTCGCTGACCGACGTCGTCACGAGTTCGCTCATGGTCGAGGGGCTGCATCCTTCAGCCTTGCGCCCGCCGACAGACGCTCCCCAGTCCTTGAGGAATACTCGGAGATAATTCCCTGTACAATCGCGAGAATCAGATAGGATAGCCTAGTCGTGTCGGAGTTTCTCAACCGATTTGTCGACTCTTGCAATTCTACCGCCTTCCACTCGGTTGGATTCCTTGGGCGGCAGGATCGTCGCCTTAGAATAAATGATGTGATTCCGGAGAGAAACCTCGAGCCGCTCATTCCGCGCATGTCGCGAATAATTTCGGGAGCTTTCTAGTCGAAAAGTTATTATAATCGCTGAGTCTCCGGAGAGAATAGAAGGGAGCCGCTCTCACTCCGCATGCAAACAGTGCACTGTGGCTCCCAACGCGGCTTATGATAATCAGACCTTGGGGGCTCATCCCTTCGAGGTGGACAAGTGGGAGTTAAATTTAGAACTGACCTACGACCTTGAGATCACAGAGAGCGCAACGGTCGACCACAATGCATTCGCATGCACAGACAATCTACTTGTCAATAATTCTGACGGACCTTCATGTGCCAGACCAGCCTGATACTATCTAGGATATTGACGAATCGAGTCTCCCCCACGAAAAACTGCGTCAAATGGACGAGTTTACGCTCCGAATTCGATATTCGGGGCCTGAGGATGACTTGCTCCCATCAGCGAGCTCATCTCGCAGCATCAGAGCAGCGGATAAATTAAACTCATCGGAGTTTGTTTGGCCGGAAGAGAGGTTTGCGGCACTTCCATGGGCCGAGAGCTAGTTCCGCTACGAGAATTTCTGTTTCCCGATTGAAACTCATCCGACCCGTGACGTCCCTGCTTCTTAGAACGCTTCAGATGGAACGACCTCAAGCCATTAGCTTTTTTGGTGGCGGCAAGTTCACGGATGTCGATCACGAATTTGATTTTGAGCTTTCTTCCTCATTCTGCGCACTACGAGCACGCGAGTCCGTTGTCGGTCCCGTGACAGGCAGACTTCGGCCGCATACGGAATGGGATGTCGACGAAATTTGAGGCTGGGTCTCACGTTCCACCCCGAGTGTTCCAAGTCGGACTTGTGCTCTCGATTGGCAGCCGGAAGAGGTGTATCTTCAGATTGAATTGATCCGAGTCCTTTTCTAAAATGCCGACACGGAACAAGTATTTGATTCATTGCCGAAAGAATCCCGGGATGTCTACTCACGACGAATTGACTGCCACGGGTATGCCGTGTCGACCGGGTTCTAGGAGCTCCTCCGGCGTTATAACCGTCGCGCAGAGATACATTCACAAAAAAATGTCGTCTCAATGACAGGCCGCTCCATCGAGAGCATTGTTATCTGTACGGAGCGTGACCGCGGTCTCTGTGCTTAATGCGGGACACACGTGCGGTTTACAGTTGAGAGCCTCTGAATCGGCGGCGAAGTCGTTCTCAGTGAGGCTGCTAATTCGTTTCTGGTGATTGCTGGTGACATCCCAGTGCTCGTCCGTGGATGGTTGCGGACTTCGGCAGACATTCAGCTCAATGCTTGGGCTATCGTCCACCGTCAAGCGTCATCATCGGCAGACAAGACAGAAACACTTTTACTTGAAAATCTAGGCAAGGCGCCAGATCCTCTGCTCATTGTTTTGATAAAAATATAAGGAGGAATTCCCCTACACCTGGTAGGGGCTATGAGAGCGAGAGTGCTGTGCTGATGATTTTGCGGCGAAGGATCCTTGAGCGGCCTTCTCAGCGCTTGGATCGATGGCCCGATTCCATCGACGGATCGCGGCCGGCGTCAACATTTCACATCGCGATGATGATTTAGACAGAATCATCACAGACGTAAACGTTGGGGTCGTCCCGATTGTCCCGCTGTGGACCCTTAGGCTCTCCTCCAAAGTCAAGTAAAAGCTCGGGAGGTTTTCTGGCATGAACCGGTCAGGTATGTGGTTTAAGAAGCGGGAACAAGTGTCGATCTGAGGCGTGTCTCATTCGTCCAGTGACCTTGGCTTTTCTTCCTTTATCAAACCATTGAAGTAGTCCCGTGTTCAACTTTGGATTATTTTTATATGAATTGGGCACTGTGCAGCGCTCCATGGACTGACTGAAGCGAAATCTGAATTGAGAGGCCTGGGATCCCGGGCCTGAGGGAGTTATGCGCGGGGTCGATCATCCAGAGTCATGTGATGGGTTTCAAGTTCGTATCATAACTGCCGAGTCCCGATATTCCGAAATTCGGGAACGCTCACGAGTCCATCGGCGCACACCGAATGTTAATGCTTGCTTCCTGAAAAGTCAGAACAGCCACAAACGGATGATTCTGGCTCTAATGTCTTCCGGCGCATCCATTCGGCAGCTTCATTCTTCTGACGCTGCTGCGGCAGCCTTTGCAGCGGGTTATTCATTCGTCAAGGTTGGCTCGCTTATATGTGTACCTGCTGGAGTTGGCAGATTGTCTTATCATCCCAATACGAAAAAGAGTGAGCGGCTGGTGACGAATGCATCTTCTGTGAACTTGTCGAGACTTGTTTCGGAAGTTTCATTACTTTCTCCTATAATTGGGTCGCGACGCCGACGATGGCAATGGTCTCATTTCCGATACGCTAACGAGCTTGTCGACCGAACCGAGAGCTATGCAATCATCCAGACGACGAGGCCTGAGTTATGCATTTAAATGAATTCGAAGATGATTTCAGTCTTCCTCAGAATGGCGTCAGCTGCACCATGAGGGGGCAGGTGTTTTCTGAATTTCTCTCAAAAACAAATCACAAATGAATTCGGATCCATTATCCCGGAAACTGCCTAATGTTCAGAAGCACACATTTATAAGAGACTGCAATGTACGTTATCACTCTCGTTTTATCCGCGGCGAACTTTGACTTGGTGATTGAGGCACGATTTGAGAATCAAAGTACCTGGGAAATCGTTTCCACGACTGCTCTGAGCCAGACGTGGTGCTGAACCATTCCGACTCGGAGCTCTGATCAGACGCCGCCGTGGTCAGTCTGAACATTGTCACACCACTGAGCTAGCCGTGTTTTTACTTATTGGATTTTCGTCGAGAAATCAGCCTATCCCTGGAAAGTCGCTCTTCATTTTCGAGGTTAGTTTATAAAAGTGAACTTGCTTGTAATATTTTCGGTCAATGCATCGATTGGCCGGCGTTGACCCTCGCAACCGCCGTCGAGACTTTCTCGGCACAAAGGAAACTGTGCTGAGTCTTGAGATCGTTCACGTTGAATTGGAGAGTCAATGGCGACGCGACCGAAGACTTACGATGACCGCGAGAATGAGCGGAGTCGAGCTGTCTTTGAAATTCTGTTTGGCGAAGTTTGAGACGGAACAAGTGCCGTGGCACGAAAGTGTCTGCCCAGTCTCCCGCTTTATGATGAACTTTTACCCCTACGGCTCCTCCTCTGCGTCTGACTAGTCCAAATCGGGATTCCATTGAAGGCTTACCCCTCCAAAATAATCGCTCGCCGATATTTCGCCTCCGGCACAAATCGCTCGATTAGCTCAAGTAGCTGACGGTGTGTTAGTTCTGTGGGTGATCGTCGACAGAGTCGAAGGTCGATACGACAGACATCGGGACTCCGATGGTCGGGCGGCACGAAAACTTCTGCGCCGAAAATCTAATGCTCCGGCAAATTCATTGTCTTATTGCTCTTAGTGCGCTCACTTCGCTAAGTCTACCTCAAGCCGCTTCTGGGAAAGGTGTCGAGGGGCGCGAAGCAGAAGTCTCCCAGAGAAGAGGGCTGGGAATAAAGTAATCCTCTTCCATCTTACAGAAACCGCAACACAATGTCCACCTAATCTGAACGCGAACTTTCGATCATCACTCTCGACACGATGGTAAGTCAAGCGGATTCGATAGATATTTGTAGGAACAGGATCGTGTTAATGTTACTCTGACAACACGCTCTCATGACCCTGGATACATGAGTTCGAATCACTGGAACTCTGAAGTCGGTACAAAAGAGCAGCTCCGCTCGACGGCTCGTGTCGTCGATCGAGCGACGCGAGTCACGTTACGCGGGCGGAACAGTCGATGTCGGGGGTGAACGTTCCGCTCACCGAAAACGCAGCATTTTGAGAAAAGTGCGTTCCTTTTTCTGGATCTTGTTGACGGTCGAAGCCGGTGATTTGCGATGAATTGGCTTTCTATGCTGGAGTTCTCCTGCCGTAGCCACAGCAACATTCCTCGAACTCTCCTAGGCCGGACTCTTTCGTCGATTCCATCCGCCGGGACATGGCTTGCAGCCTTAGCCTCGTAGGAATGCTGAAATAATTAAATATTCAGAAATAGAATTTAAAACAAGAACGTTCGCTCAGGGACTCCGCTCCTCCAATCGCCGGTCCCAAGAGGTAGTGGCGTACACAGGACATTTCTTGTGTGGGGGGGGGCTAGATCGGGTCTCCGCATGGAGCTGAAAGCCCAGTAATACCTGCGCACGCCCCTGCCAAGAGGGGTAGAATCAGTTTCGCAAGGATCGGAGTACGGTCGCGACTCTTGGCTGCGCCGTTTCGAAATGCGATAAACTCAAGATCGGGAGCGGCCCTCGGAGTCGGAAACGACAGAGCTGATGGAGAATGTCCTGATCTGTGTCGATCACCCTTGAGTCGATGTTAGGCGAAAGATCAAGTAGGCAGCGAGGTTGGGATGGGAGAGCCATTCGAATGGGAAATCGAATATTCCCTTCGGCAATGAATCTCCGGAAATCCCTTTGTCAATGTTGACTTGAGTTTAAGATGCGAGCCAGTTTCTGATGAAGCCGATGTCCTCGCAGGATACCCAGAAACCCTCACTCGAGACTCGATAATAATGCTCCAGCAAACTCCCCGAATGCTCTTCTTGTTTGCTCGCCGCGATTTCCGGCATCGCCACGTACACCGGCTGGTCCCTTCGTTAGCTTGTCGGTTTCTGCGTTTGGCCCAATTCAAGCAGAAAACCTCATGATTCGTCCGTTGCTGGGCTTCTTCCGGCACCAATCAGCCGTCGATGAATGGGAGATGGCTCACACTGTTGGACACATCGCCGCCGCTATATCAGCTCGATACGCTACGGCCGTGCTGCTATTCGTTGGCACATTTTCTTCGATATTTCATCTGTGAAGTAAAATCGGAAAGTCGTTCATGTGAAATTAGGCACAGAAATATAAATAGACCTCGTGAGTCGGACTTAAGTGGAAAAGAAATTCGATCGAGGAGTCCTCATTGTTCCCCGATTTCCCCGCTGCTGATCTCTTGTGCGGCGTCGCGAGCCATTTGGGAATGAGCGCTGCGAATCGCGTTGTCACAAATGCCAGCTATCGTTTGAATTTCCGGACGGAGCAAGAATTCTGCAACCTTCCTGAATTAAATCCAGTGTTTTCGTCAGAAGAAACAACGGATAGTCTTGTGCGAAAACCTTCTCTTCTTCTTCGAGAACATCCGGCCAGTGTTCGAAGTTTCTGTCTTCGGTAAAAATAAAGATAATCACAATGCCGCCTCGTGAGGAAAGCCTTGTCTAGATTCGAACGAACCCCGCGTGAGCCAAGGATTCCCTCGCGGCTCTAGAATACCGCCGGGGTCGAGTCAAAATAAGCATCCGGATCCTTCGGACCATCATAGTTCCAGATCCAATGGTAGCGACCGACGAGCACGAGTCTGTCTACGCTTCGACGGATTCGCGCACTCCGTGAATTAGCAGCTGCTTGTTCAATATGCACAACTTTGAGCTCAATTGCTCAGAACGGCGCGCTGGTTCCACGGCTGTGCGACCCCCGTGACCTTAGCCTTCGTCAGTGCCCACGCGGGAGCAGACAGGACTCCCTCATCGAGACCTTTTAGGTTTTCGGAGAGCGATACAGTATCTTTAAGAGATCTCGGTACAAGTTCACTCGAAGCGTGTATCGACGACATTGGAGAGAATATTCCTGGTCGCGTCGTCGATTCATGTCGATGCAATAGTCTTAAAATTCATGAATGTGCTCTAACATTTCCAACAACCCGGTCCGCTTCCGAAATCGGTGATTCAATTTATTCCTGGCGCTGACAGAAAATGCAAAGAAACCTCAACCAAGCAATCCACAGAAAACTCCTCCCTATCTGCGAGTTCTTGGGAAATCGTTGGAAATGCGTCTGTACACTCGGTCGCGGCACTATGCGGAAATCTATCTTGATTCGAATCTCGTTTTGCTTATGGACGATTATGGAAGGAGTTTCTTTCTGCGACCGAGAGTTGGATGATGTCGTCCAAGCGGTCGGTTTCTTTTTCGGCGGACCGTTCTGAACACGAATTCCAAATAGAAAAAGGAAGAGCTAGATACCTCAAAGAAAGGCCCCGAAAAAGCTCTACCGAGTGTCAGAAATCACCAAATATTGAAATTCGCCGAACGAAATAGTATAAGCGCTCAGGGACCATTCATTACATTGGCCGCCCTGTGGAGACTCTGAGATGAGATGAGCATGAGATGCATGGCTGAGTTTATCGAGACGTGACCTTTAGAGGCCACTCGAGGGTTTGTTCGCAATTCAGGTTCACCGCGCAAACAAGTTCGAAAGTTCGACCCTCTGTGTGCCGAAAACTCGACAGGATAAAACTGCATCGGAGGCAGTCATCGGGGAATTAGTCGAACGCAAATTGCCAGAGGGAGGGAAATGAATTTGCTCAGAAGTGGACACCAATGAGAGAACTTGGGAGCTCGATATACAGATCGCCTTCGATAATTACTCCGATTCACTTGAGTCCTGCGTCTCTGCAGAGTCGAGTCCTTCAGCGGTTGCTGATTCTCCTGGCAGCCACGGTTCCTTCGTGGGCCTATCCCTCAGGAGCCCCAGCAGGAACGTGCCTCACGCTTTTTCCGAGACACGACACGGAGCCGCAATCGACGCCTTCACCTTTCCGCATCGAAGTCAATTCGCGGGGAAACGAAATTCAAAGTAAGTCGACCGAGTGATAAATCGCTCGAGATACAGCACCGAGAGGGGTTCCACCGAGCAAGACCACTACTAACACGAACATTCTCTAGTTGATCTCGTCGGGAACGAGCCATTCCGAGGCTTCCTGATCAATGCTCGATTGGCGTCGGATCCCCAGAGGATAGTCCCGGGCTTCTTCTCACCTCGTGTTGATCCAAACGCGCAAACGCTCGACTGCCTGAGCGAGAAAGACGTGAGTCGTTGTACGGAGCGTAACGTTGACGATCTTGGTGACCGTACAAAGCAGCCATTATACAACGAGGCCACGGTTCTTGTTCGTTACGAGCGAAGCACCCATTTTTTTCGTATTGGTCCTTCCAGTCAGGAATCACGCATGTGGATGCGAACGACAAATCCGCCATTCGAGCTCTGTGGACCGCACCAGCAGGCTTTGACGATAGAGTCATCTTCGTGTGAGTAATATAACATGGGTCGATTCATGCCCAAGGGCAGACTTCCAAGGACGATTCCAAGAAACATTCTGCAAAATATTGTCATTGTCTTTCGGCCAACTCTCCATCGAGTTCCACACTAAAGCTTACCTCGGATCGCCCATTACAGGGGAGCCGTAGTCAAGTCGTTCGACCAGTTCTGGTCTGATATCAGATCGGGCGAGGTACAGGTCAGAGGAACTGGTGCCGCATTAGTGAAAGCACAAATCCCGGAAAGAGTCTACGACAACTGTGGCGTCTCTGATGGATGTTTCGGCCTTCCCCTGAACTGCATCGCTTCAAGGAAATGTGAACTTCTCCTAGGCTATCATGAGGAGCCAGGATACGGGTAAGTTCGTCTTCTCGATAGAGATGAGAACGACGGGGAAGAGCGATCATCGAAGACCTTTCGAGTGCATCTGATATTCGACGCTCAATTCAATCCTCAGATATTTCTTCCAAATGGTGACAACGGCGGGTACGAATAAGTACGTCGCCACCGGAATTTCGCACGACAGTCTCATGGGCAACGACGCCGTCGTCGAGTGCGTGGACGTCGATGGCGACCTCGATATAAGGCAAGCGAACGTACAGTAGAACGTCGGGCCGCCCTCTCAAGCTCTCGATCGGATTTCGGAAGCGAAGTTCAATACGAATATATCGTTGACTAAAACCTCCAGAGAATCATGGAACGTGGCCAATGGACGAGCCAACGAACCGATTCCCTCGTCGAACATCCAAAAAGTGGCTCAGAATGCGAACGATGGCGTACACAGCTGCCAGTGGAGACGCCCGTATTCCACGGTGGTGAGGGGATCCACCTTCGACCTTCGTGACAGAAAATATATCCTCCTGGCCACAGGGAATGTTTCCCCTTTGAACGGAAGTGAGCAAGATTTCGCGCAGCCACCTTGTTGATGACGACCCCACGATGCATCCAACTCACAATCCTCAATCATGAGACGAGGGTTGACGATCGGTGACTCGTTCCAGGCAAACGGTACCACGATCAAGCCGTCTCTTCGGCGAGCGTCGTAGACTTCAGTGCTCTTCGAGTTGAGAAGGGGGACAACTCCCACGTGTGGGTACAGGCACATGCCACCCTGATGACCGTAGCGTGGCTCTTCACGGCGTCGCTCGGAATGATGTTGGCGAGACATTTCAAAAATGTTTGGGAGGATAAGATGCCATGCGGTGTGAAGATGTGGTTTGCGGTGAGCATATTGTTCTAGCCTCCTGAGTCCTTTAAACTCTATTCCATTCCAAGAAGTTCACCGTCATTGGTCCGCGAGGACAGGGACGGCATTGACGCACGGAAGAGCTCGTCTCATGCTCAGATTTGATGTTGTATATCGCGGACTCAAGATTACGAAATTATTCCAGTGCCACCGATTGCTGATGGTCTCGACCCTGGTTCTATCGATAGTCGGGGTGGTCATAATGTTCTACCGTTTCGGTATCTTCACGCCTCAGGCCGGCCTCCACCCGATTTTCGGTATGGCCTGCGTCACCTTATGCATTTGCCAGCCGATCATGGCGCTTTTCAGGTGTCATCCAGGGACCAAGAAGCGCCCATTATTCAATTGGGCTCACTGGTTCGTGGGGAACACCGCACAGATTTTCGGAGGTGAGTTTCGGTCGGAGTCCAGCACACAGGCATTCGAGCACAATATCAGAGAAGGTTTCCCTCGGAAAGCTCATAGATGGGGATTAATTTAATTTGTTTTGCAGTGATCGCGATCTTCCTTGCGGTAGATCTACCGAAGGCAGGCCTCCATGAAATTTACTGGTTCATCTACCTCATCATGGCCTTCGTAGTCTTCAACGTCCTATCCCATCTGATTCTCCAATGTCATGGCTTTTCCGTCGACAAAAAAGGTGAATATTCCGGCTGAATGCAGTCCTCGGGGGCAGCCGTTCCTCTCGACGGAAGTTCATGCTGATGGACTTGACGGACCGTTACGGTTTGACGATCCGCGATGAGTCTAAATATTGATTCCTTATCCAATTATAGTTTCCAACACACCGGACATCCACCTTCAAGCTATGGGCTCGAACGGTTCCCAGATGAGTCCTGTGCAAATGATCGAGACTAAGGACTCGCCCGGCAGTGAGTTCCGACGCTTCATGCTCGGACTCTATATCGTCGGATTACTCTTCATCGTCGGTGCCATGGTTGCGGTCATCTGGCTGAGTCGAACCGAGCTTATCTGATGAGCTTGCAGAAAACGCTCCGGCCCAATCAGGTCCCCGGAGCTGAGATCGCTGATACACGACTGCTGCTCCTATCGTGAAGGATCTGTAAATATAAATCGTATTTATTGTGGACCAATGGAACAGTTGTTCTTATGACTTTTATTCGCGTCGGATTGGTGCCTTCGGAATGTTTGAGATTGGATTCGGTCTTGTCAGACCGGATCGTGCGAGATCGCCGAAAGATGATGGCTGTTGACTCACATATCATTTTTATGGAGTCGATCTGTGTAAATAAATCAGGATGCTGATAAACTGGCTCAAGCGGAGTTTTCCCCTAGTCGAACCTCCTTAGCATCCTAATCGCGATAGTGGAGGGCTTTCCTCAATCGATCGCACTACCTGGACCCTTCCGGCTAGCGGAAAATCCAGTTTATAGTGTACGATCATTCTCAAGTCACCGGAGAGTCATCGGGGATGCGCTGCGGAATGCGCTTGGAAATGACCTCGGTAGACTGCAATCAGGCGACTGATAAAGTTTGGGAGTCCGTAGTGGCAAACAATGCCCGGAGATTCCGTCTGGATCACCATTATCGGAGTCGGATGTCGTCGACGGATCATTCAAAAAATATACTGACAACATCGTGTCGTAACAGCTACGGGGTCTCCGGTTTTTTCGATTGCACCGCGGAGACGCGAATTATCCCTTCCCCGATGAAATCGGCTGCCCTTGCTCTCATTCATCGCCTGAACAGCACACGTGCGGAGTGCAGCTTCAGGTGTGCTCGGTGATAGCGTGGTATCGAAGAGATAGCGATTGGCGTTCAGGAGAGTTTTGGTATCGCGGCCAGTGGCTCCTTGCGCCGCTTCATACCGCCATGATTTACATCCCTCCATCGCAAGTGAAAACATCGTGCGATAATAAATCATTAGTGATAAATCATCATGCAATGACGACTGGTCCGCTAATGACATCTGACGCTCGGGGAAAGCGTTCCCTGCTCCCACCAGAGCAACTGATGGTGAACGCACAAGAATGTACTGACAGAGCGGGGAATGACGAGCGAGTGGAATTTGCTAGCAAATTAATCTTCCCTGAGCCACAGAGAGCTTTGACCCCCCTAGCAGAATCTGATGCTTCAGCCTGTTGTGATCCTGCTAGCAGCCTCAGTTCCTGCATGGGCGAATTCCGTGGGAGCTCCGGCAGAAGCTTGTCTTACGCTCTTGCCGGGACACGACGAAGAGCCACAGACGACGGATGCCCCGTTCCGTCTCGAGGTGAGCTCGCGCTGCAATGAAGTCCAGCGTGAGTTTCAGCGTTTTCGCCTGATACCTCGTAGAGATGCACATTCTTACGATTATTTGAGATGAGAGAACAATTTCGCCCTCAGTCGATCTCGTCGGAAGCGAAACTTTCAAAGGATTCTTGATAAACGCCCGTTTGGCTTCTGATCCGGGGCAAATCGTCCCGGGGACCTTTTCGGCTGATCTCTACCCCAACGCCCAAGCAATCGACTGTTCGAATGTGAGATATGTGAGTTCCCCAGTTGCGTACGTCTTTGTTTCATGGTATGAGCAGAGGTGGAAACTTGCGAGGAACACATGATGATTCTTCCGTCCTTCCATCCGTCCCCAATGCTCTCACTCCCCAGTCGGGACTCACGCATACGGATCCGAGCAACAAGACTGCCATCCGAGCGGTGTGGAACGCACCCGATGGATTCGACGACAAAATCGTCTTCAAGTGAGCTGCAGAGAAAAATCCTCAAGCTTGTATTAGCACAACCCGGATACCGAATGACCGGTCTCACAAAAAAAATCTGTACGAAATCTCGAATCTTTCCCGATTGACAGAGGTGCCGTGGTGAAAGCCTTCGATGAGTTCTGGTCCAACATCACATCTCCCGTGATCGCGGTCAAAGGAAAGAGCGCTACAGAACCGTACAAGCCCGAGATCGAAGATGATGTGTACGACAAGTGCGGAGTCACTGCAGGGTGTACCGGGCTTCCTCGAGACTGCATCGATACGAAGGACTGTGAAGTCCTTCTCACCTACACCGAGGAGCCAGGCTTCGGGCGAGTCGATCTATTTCATTATCAAGACGGGAAATTCACGGACAGTCATGTCCACGCAAACCATTCGAAGAGGGTCGTCTCGAAAATCGGTCTCCGGATCGCCTTGCAGGTATCGATTCGAACTGGCGACGACGGCGGGGGAAAATCATTACGCGGCCGCAGCGTTTTCGGATGACGATCGGATGGGTAACGATGCCGTTGTCGAGTGCGTGGATACCAACGGGAACATCGAAATCAGGTGAGAAGGTGATCCATTCGAAACTCAAGGCGCTTCCGCAGTCTCGGATGGGCCGTACGAATCAAATATGAAGCATCCTCAAGTTTTCCTATTCGCGACAGAGAATCATGGAACAAAGCGAACGAGCGAGTCAATGAAGTGCTACCTACGTCGAACATACAGAAGGTCTCTCAAAAGTCGGAAGGTGGCGTGAAAAGCTGCGTATGGAGGCGACCGTATTCTACAGAAGTCGGGGGTTTGAATTTTGATTTGAAAGGAAGGAACTACATCTTCCTGGCCTCAGGAGACGTCTCCGACCAGGGCGGAGGTGAGAGAATCCTGTCCGGCGGTGCCGGCGGTGATGATCGGCGACTGACTCTGCGTCGACGCGGAATTACCCGAAGCGCGCAGCGTTGGATGGGACCGTGTTCTGTATTCCAGGCAAGAGCAAGCACGACGAGGTAGTTGCTTCAGATCGCCCTGTGGACCTGAGTGCTGCGCGAGTCGAGAGGGTCGACGATTCGCATCTTTGGATTCAGACTCATGCAACTCTGATGACCGTGGCGTGGCTTTTCACCGCCTCGATCGGCATCATGCTTGCGAGACATTACAAGAATGTCTGGGAGGACGGAACGCCTTTCGGCGTAGAGACGTGGTTCGCTGTGAGCGTGCTTTGGGTTTGAGAAGTTCATAGGGAGACCGAATCGTAGTGGGCATATGATACCGGCGTAGATCCCGGCTAATTATTATTAGGCCTGCCAAGCAGGCCGTTCGGGGTACCATTCAAGATAAGCCCCATCGGGGGATTGCAGATCCCGTTCCTGTATTCCAGTGTCATCAACTCCTCATGGGCTTGACTCTGACGTTCGCGATCGGCGGTGTGCTCACGATGTTCTACCGTTTCGGGAACCTCTTTCCGCGGGCTGGCTGGCACCCGATCCTCGGAATGACCTCCCTTCTCTTTGGAATCCTCCAGCCGATCATGGCTTTCTTCAGATCCAAGCCAGGCACACCGATACGTTCGATCTTCAATTGTATCCATTGGTTCGTCGGGAACACCGCATACGTTTTCGGATGTACGTTGCCAATCAGCCTGATCAGCACTTGGCCGATCAGCACTCAGGAAACTATTCCTTCGGAAACCTGTACAGGACCGTTCTGATCTGATCCATCCGCGATTTGCAGTTGCTGCGATTGTCTTCGCAATAGCCAAAGCTGATATTCACGACATTTGCTGGTTCATCTACCTTCTCATCGCTTTCATAATCGTCAACGTCTTCTGCCACGTGATTCTTCTGATCTACGAGAGCGCTGAAGATGTGAAAGGTGAGATCTCACACGCGGAGAGGACGCAAAGAACATGCATACAGGCTTCCTCCATCCCCTTTCTCTAGTGCTCGGCCCTCCCGCCCCCTACGTTCGCTTTTGCCTGAAGTCGAACCTCTAACAAGCTTACGCTGCCGAATGAATGCAATCATAATCGCAATATTTCCCTATATGGATATGCTGCATCTTCCAGCTGTGCGATGGGCCGTCGAGCGGAAGTCACCTGAACAGATGGAAGAGATCAGCGAGCGAGATACGCCGGGCACCAAGTTCCGACGCATGATGCTTGGCGCTTATATCGCCGGATTGCTCTTGACCGTCGGTCCTCTGATTGCTCTCCTATGGACGAATGGGACCGAACTCATGTACTGGAATGCATGAGCTGAATAGACGCTCTGGGATCCGCTGCCAACTGTAAAAAACTTTGTACGTATCGAGAGGTATCGACAATCATACGGATGATCTGACGCTGTCTTGAATAAACCATCCGAACGTTCAGACATCGCGGAACCGTTCGTGATTGGGATGTTTGCGATCATTCGGCGATCCTTGAGATATAAATTCACCTTCAGACAATGGTTGAAAATTAGCTCCCGGGTAGATCGTCACTGGCATCAGGCAGGACGGAGACAATCTGAATGGAAAAGAGCGACGTACAGCGTTTGCGAAGATCTATCCCAGGGGTGTCGAAGTCAAATCTTCGGCGGGCCACGAAGGAGCACTGGGAGTAGCCGGCGGGCCACATCCTGAGATTTTTCGACATTTATCTTAATTCACGTTGTTTGAGCGAAGAGCGGAAAGCTGGAGGAAAACACATATGTATGTGCATGATGGGTCACAATCGATTCTCGATTCTTCAGGGTCGACTCGTTCTATTCGCGATTCGAAAACTACAAGGATATTATCCTATGCCGATGGAATTCCCGGCCGCGGGCCACGAATAAACTCTTTGTGGGCCACGAATAAACTCTTTGTGGGCCACGAATAAACTCTTTGTGGGCCACTAGTGGCCCGCGGGCCACCTCTTTGACACCCCTGATCTATCCCATATGATTGCGAAGACGGAGTGAGCTTATTGAGGGATGAGGTTCCGACTGGACCCTGAGGGCATACGGGTAGTTTATATCGGGTATTCTGTTCATTTGGAGGCAACCGCCGTGACTTCTGAGCGGTGCTCCTGTCCCGCATTCCGTTCGCGCTCACGGTACTGGAGAGCGCAGGTGTGACCGAGGGATCGCCCGATCCGCATCGACTAGCAGGCCAAGATCAGCGACATCAGGTTATTCTAGTTGAATCACGAATGATTTCCAGAGCGTTCGAATGAGAACCGCCTTCATATACCATTTGTCGTCGCCCCATTCGTCCTCCAGTAATTGAGGCCGCCGCTCGAGACGTCGACCGCATTAGCCGAATTCCAAACCCCTGTAGCAGCCCAGATGACTTCAGCGGGTGGACCAGCTGATCGATCTGAGTAGAGGGCGAGGCGGGCTAACGGTTTGAATGAATGGCGGCAAACAAGTTCCGTCTCCCTGGAAAAAGTAGAAATGTCATGAGAGAATGATGTCCCATACTCTCGGAGTTGGTCAGGATTCTGAGAACGTCACCGTGGCGCGATATATCCGAACCGGGTGGAATTCGGGGGAATTTGATTGTGTGTTTTGTGAGCCAAAGTTCGCCTGCTCGATTTACTGCTGCTCGCTCTCGTCAGAGGCGGGAAGAGCCTTGGCGCTCAAAGCCGTTGTGAAGCAGGTTTTACTTCGAGACGGTTGTGGAGATACCTTGCTCTCGTGCCCACTCCAGGGAAGAGGAGCTTCTGTGCTTACATTGAGACATAATCGTGTTTGTGGACTTGTCTAACTGACCAAACGTAGGGCTTGCCGGATCAGGGTTTCGACAAGAACTCGATAGCGCTGGAGTTCCAAGTTTTCCGGGAAAACTTCGATGGAGTTCTGACTCCGGATCGTGGTGGATCTGCGAGGAGTTGCTGCGAGAAGCTTCATTTCAACCTGCGTTTCCATGGTTCACTGTCCGCCAATGTTAACCTCCGAGAACAACCTTCGATACGCCATATCAGACCTCTTTTCCGAACCCGCGGTAAGTCGGAACTTCGCAGCCCGGCGCCCCTTCCCTAGCTCAGACCGGACTGGCGGCACGGAATTCATGGAGCCTATTCCCGTATCCAGTATCCTTGCATGGAAAACCGCACGAAAACGGCAGCGATACTCCGAGAGATCTCGAAGGTGTCAGTTAGGCGGCAAAATGTGGCGCCATCTCGGGCAGCGACCCATCCGACAGAGGGCATCGAGAATCTTCCAGGTGGTCAACTACCGGGATTATCTCATTATGCTCGCATGATCGGAGCCTCATCGAATAACATGCAGAGCTCTCTGTTTTACTCTTCGCCGTTTTCTGTTGTTTCTATCATTCGAAACAACACCAGCACCTCTCAAGACCGCTCAGCCGCTTCCCGTGGTTCAATTCGCAACGTCCGCCACCCCCGCCCGACCCTGACTCGAGCCCTGGTCGTAGATCGAGCTCTAAATAGTCTTTCCCCCTCAGGAGAAACGTCCTGCATTGGCCCCGACGCGTCAGCTGCTCTCCCGCAAACGCAAGTTCAACTTGACGTTCAGCTCTCCCCACGATGAGCCCCGTGCGACTTCGAAGCACAATAATTTCAAGATCTTGCCGGACGAGGTTTTGCTCAAGATTTTCGGGTACCTGAGCCGGAAAGATCTGAGAGCATGTATGCTGGTCAGCAGACGCTTCAAACGAGTGGCGTAAGTTCTTTCACCCGGCATCAATATGTACCAAGGAGAAGAGCAGAGCCAGAGACGACGAACGCTAGCTCGGTATTATTATATATTCGTCGCAGAAACCGTCGGTTTATCTTATAGCTGAGTGTTCGGCCTCGGATTTCTGAGCTCGCTATGATTTCAGATGCGACTCCGAATTATGGCACAGTGTTGGTTACAACCGGGGGAAGTTTGCAGAGAAGGCTTTACTCCTCGAAGTCATGCGGGGCACGAAAATGCTCTGCAGTGCTTGTGCTTCGTCCCGCTTCCACCTGACGAAGCCTGTGCAACTCCCTCGACTACAATTGCAATTTGTTGATCTCACAAATGCCGTAGTTTCCCACTACCTCTTGACGGGCCTCCTCCAAGCTTGCGATCAGCTAAAAGGCCTATCGTTAGAGAATCAAGCCTTGAGCGATGAGGTGTGTGAAGCCATAGGTCGAAACAAGAACTTAGTCACTCTGAATTTGTGCATGGTGTCGGGATTGACCTTGGAGGGCGTGAATCACATCCTGAAGGTTAGTGGACGTTGAATCTGTGCCATGAGCATATCGGGGAGCATATGTACAATGCATTCGAGTTCAGGACCATGAAGGATCAGACTGCTTTCGCTGTGCATCGATTAACTCCTTTCGCAATCGCCTCCAGGGCTGCCGTCGTCTCAACAGTTTCAATGTAGCCTGGTCAACAATGGAGAAAGAAAGTCTGGCGCAATTGGTAGGCGCCCTACCGGTCACTCTCAAGGAGCTGAATATAGCTGGATATACTGATTATCTACAGGACAATCACGTCGCGAAGTTATGTGACAGCTCTCCCGATGTGAGTGGAGCAGCTGCGGCCCGGAAATCCTTACCTGGACATACCCCGTGTCATTTTTGCAAGCATGAAAGCTCATTTTATTCACAATCGTCTGTTCTTTCAATCGATCTCCCCTGATATCATCCGCTACGGCACGATCCTCAAGCGTTCCTCTTCTCTCCGACAGTTGGAGTTGCTCTGCATCTCGGATAATCGGACGCTGTCGCCCAAAACGGTTATCACAATATCTGAGAAGCTGCACAATTTACGCCACCTTGACCTGTCGAGATGCCACCAGTTGTTTTGGCCGGAGTTCGTCTTCCCGTTGAAGAAGTTGACGAAATTCGAGTAAGCCTGTCGACGAATTCATTCGGTGTCACTTTCTGCTCTCCGTATCAGGCGGAGGACTTCGCAACCGCTCCAGCGGCAGCGGCTCTGATCCGAGTTGATCACATCCCGTCAAGGTTCTTCTCAGTGGCACAATGTCCTCACGTCGCCTTACTTTACAGACATCTGTCATGTTACGGATTCCCCGAAGAACGCTATGTCGAAGAGATCCGAGCAATCTTTCCCAAATTCAAAGTGAACGAGGCGCACTTCCGGAACCTGTCAAGCATAGCAAGACCACAGCCCTCTTATGGCGCGGACATCAAGTCTCTCTGGGGGGTCCCGATGAGATGCTGACTTCGTTAGGGGGAATTACGGGAATTGAATATTTTTCTCCTAATAGACTGGAAAAGCGATGCGCTTTTAGAGATTTCTCTTGGCTGACAGTAGCTCATGAGGATTTCGTTGGATCGATCGTTGTGTTTTCCCGATTAGTGCTCGTCGAGCCAGCTGCTAGATAAATTCGATTCCTCCGGAAATCTGCTCAATCCTGGAAAAGAAAGTGCACCGAGGAGAATCGCGGGCGAGAGAGAACTGGAGTGAATCAGTCTTCATACGACAACCTTCTCGCCTCACTCTAGCGAAGCCTCTCATGATTCGACAAAACTCTCTCTTGTTCTCGGAAAGAGGGATTTACTTTATGATCCGGATCTCACGACTCATGATGAGGGGAGGTAGAGGGCGTCATTATGGGAGGCGCTGGGAATGTTTTGTTATTAGTCAAATCCCATGTATAAAGGACCGAATGTGGATATAGGATTAATCCACCTTCGTGTCAGACGCAGGTCCAGCGAGAAAGCGTCCCCTAGCCTGAACTCGTTCGAGGGATTCATGCCCGAAGAGATGTCTCTGGGTCATCGGACGAGCTTATGGAAAGAAATAAAGTTCTACAAGAAGCCCTGGGCAGTGATTTTATATGGAGTATACTAAAAGCAGGAATGAGAACATAATCGAGCGATTAGCGGCTTTATTCGTCTCTCTGCAGTTTGTTGATGTAATCTCCATAGGCCTCTCCATTACGTGGACTTCGATTTGCTTTGATTTCCCTCAATTCTCGATCACCATCTTCCTTTGCTCCTGAATCACAATTGGTTTCTACGGCTCATCCTCGGAATCAATGTTTATCGAGAACATAATAGGTCGGTCTGTTTTGAGGGAGCCGACGTTATTCCATCGTCATAGGTACGCGCGTCCAAGCCCTGGCGTTCCACGTCACCATCGAAAAGGATTCCATGGACTTACCGCCGCGTAAAGACTCATTGCATTGACTTACTGTTCGATCCCAAAGGTTTTCTCCCTACAAGCTGAATTATCCATGGATTCCGAAATTTCACGCTCAGAATGCTGATCTATCATGCTTCAAAATTAGGATTTCCCCTATAACAGGGGTTTGATTTTCATCAAGTCGAATCTTATCTCTGGAACGATTTCCCGGCTCCGCCTCTCGTGGACTTCCCATTCCCTCCTTGCATACAATGGATGCCCTCGTTCGTTACATTGGCTGATCATCACGGTAGTGAGAGACGATACCAAGGGCTCGGATTCTCGAGCTCCAGACACTCGTCCCGAAATTTTTGAAGAATTTTACGATTCGGTGGGGTTTGCAGGATGCTCGAATCAGTTCCGAAAGAAAAATTACCCCGTCTGCCGTCAGTCTCCGGAGGTATCGTGTGCAGATTTGCTGCTTCTCCACTAAATCTCGCCTGTACGTCCGTCGTTTAATAAGTTGTGTTATTTACAAGTTTCCAGAGCAGAACGATACCAAAACTTTCCAGCCGCCGTCCGTATGGGGCGAGAGGACATCAAAATCGTCTTTGGACTATTTAAGCGATCGACGATCTCAACCGAATGTGTGAGTTTATTTCCATGTCAATTTTGAAGGTGTGTAGCCTGGTTCTCGAGTTGATTGAACTCTGTCATTTTCTGTGGTCACGTAGAGCTGATTGCGTTCAGTTATCATTGGATGGGTTCCACTCATCATTTTCAGGGCTTGTCTTGGTGCATAGAATTACACAATGTGACCGAGCCCGTCCTGATGTACCTTCCCCACGTTCTCGGCCTCAACAAAATCAGATCCAGCCCCTGCGATCCAGGTCCCTCTGTTTCCCGCAGAGGGCCCCCAGCACTCGCTTCGCTGTGGAATAGAGTTCACCTCCATGATGGGGGCTTGAGATTTGCTTGGACTTTGAAAACACTCTCTTCATTGCGGAGTCGTCCCGTCCTCAGATATTTTTCCTCACGAGAGCCGCCCGGGGCCAATCGATTGCTCGCGTAATTTTCGTATCAGCGAACCTACGAGCAAGAGAACTTCACACGGAGTAGGTCATCAATGTCAGATGTGCATTCGGCGACGCCGCGGACGCTCAGCCGCAGGAGTATCCTCCGTGATTCCTCGTATGTCCCGAATGAGGCCGGCTGGCTGGCTGGATGGATGAAGCTGAGGCTCCAAACTCCCGGATTCTCTTTGCGCGTCGTCGAACACGCCCACTCTACAATGTGTCCCCAGACACGGTACTCAGGATGAGAGCCGAAACTTCTGTCATCAGTCCGAAGTGGAAAATCTCACCCATCAGCCGAGGGCGGCTCTGATCCTTGGAGAGACTAGGTAATTTATTTCCCGGCCGAAGGTCACTCTCGCTTCTGTGGCGGTTGCCGACCGTTTTTCTTCTCAACCAATCAATCTCTAGACGTATGAACGAGACCTATTCCCTTCGAGATCTACGACCGGATTCTTGGTAAGACTTTTCCTTAGCTGCGAGTCGCATTTTATGACTCCTGCATTTTCTTGCGCATGGAGGGTACGTGGGGATGTTGAATAGAAGCCGTGTGCTCTCTTGTCGCTGCATTTCCGTGTGAGAATCCCAATTCGTAATCGTCTTCTCTTCGCTCTGCTTCTAGTGGATATGTCTGTTATATACTTTTTATGAACAGAATCAGCCATTAAGGCCACGAAATCCTCTAGTGCGGAGAGAGGAGCTGGAAACTTAGTTTCATCCTTCCGTTCCCCTAATATGTACAACGGTTAGTGTCGTCTTGCTTCTGAGCATACGAGTCTCGATCGCGTAATCTACGACTTGTCCATTTGTGAGTTTCCGTGAGATAAGATTCACCGACTTTCACTGGCTGCTTCCTTCTTGTTGCTCCTTTCGGTTTGCCTCCTCGTGTCCGAGAATTACATTTCTCCTAGGCATCAAATCAATCAGTGGCTTGCTCGGCCGATCGATACTTTCTGAGCATAGGGGGAATGGGGGGGGGATCTCCCAGAAACCACAGGCACTGTCAGGCGGTCCTCACAGTTCGCGCTGTCTCGTTTCGTTGACCTTGGCTTCACATTGGCTTCTCTCTGATTCCGCGGGGGAATCTCTGACTGGCCCACTGCAGAGTCTGTGGTTCCTTTGGCTGTGTCACACGTCATCGCGGGAACTGTAGCTCGAACGACGAGTGTTGAGTGGCGGAATATGTACAACGGGCTCCTGGTCGGACTTGCAGCGGGACAGGTGTCGGGGTGAAGCCCCCGACGGACTGCCCACAGGGAGGGTGTACTTCGAGACACAACTCTCGACAGGGACAGATACTCCTAGAGGATCGCATGACGGCGGACCTGCAATGGGAACCACTCCCCTTAAGAAAAAGCATCCTGCCTAGATTCTGCAGAGGTTGCAGGTCAGGAAGAGGGGGGGGAGGCGTCGAACGGTACTGACCGATGTCTTCTGTATACGATGAACTGTCGCTGAGATCAGATGAGTTGTTGCTGGCACGGTTAAGGTGAATGGGCGTCGCTCCAGACGTTACGGGATGACCTCCGGTTATGAGGCCTTGAATGTGCTCCGTGATTCTCTTGAAACGCCGCACAGATCCGGAGACGAGGGTGAAAGTGATGACGAAACTCGTCGGCTCCACGTCTGTCGAGTGGCCTCCGACGACGGATTCCGTCTCTTGCGGCAGGAGATCAACGTTGAAGCGAACGTTCCTCTGGAAGTGCGAGGCAGGACTCGAACGGGAGGAGGAGTGGCCGCGTTTGTACTCCACGCGGAACGAAGTCGGCGACACAACGCTGTGCGAGAGGTCCGACACCGAAAGGAACGCGTGAATCAGGTCGGCTAGAAAGGAAGAGCAGTCGGCGAATTCGGAAAACATGCCCTTTCGGAGGAATAATCGTCCCGTGGAAAATAATTATTGGAATTATTATTCCTTGCTCAAGATCACAAAGCAGTGTCCAGCGTGGGGGAATCATCGGTCAAAACTATCGCTCACCTTTGAGCGAGCTGAGCTGACGGTTCTGGATAACGATTGTGGTCCGACTGTCCTCCGCTGAAGTGGCGCTCCTCTTCCGCTCTCCCATAAGCGGGGAGCCTGCAGTCATTGGGGTCAGGAAGCCACCAAACCACGACCTCTTCGAGAGTTCGGGAGAGGATTCTGGCGTCAAACCTCCAGAGGGTGGTTGTGCTATTTTACTTCTCCGATGGAACCTAGAGACGGGAATGAAGTTCGAAGAGCGTCCACCACGTTTTTCGGAACGAATGAGTATATTGGGATCGTTGATCGAAGAAATCGCGGAATGCTCTCGCTCGAGCTCACCTAGGGGATCCCATAAGGAACGAGTTTTTGATTGTGTTATGGATTCGGTTCCGCCAGTACGGTGTACCGGGTGAACCGGGTGGCGTTGCGCCCTTGTTGAGCTCGTGCGGATGACCCAGAGACGCATGGCCCAGTAGAGGCGAATGAGCATGTCCATTGTTCTGTTGATCGTGGAGAATTCGCGGAGAATTGCATCGGTTCGAAGGTGAGAGCTGAGGTGACATCCCCGTCAGCGACGTCGTTGAGCTTCGCCGTGATCCCCTGAAACGCCAGATCACCAGGTCAGCCCCAATATCGTTCCCTTCCGCATCGCTGAAAGCTTATGGGGGAAGAGACAGGCACAGAGATGGACAATCAGACGGACGGATAGGTAAAACACATGGACGACCAGTTATCTATGGGGCCTGATAAGCGGGAGGGGCGCCTGTCGATCAGGCAATAACTTGTAATTGGATGAGGGCGGGATAGATGTCCGTAACGATGGTCGCTTATGCGATCTTCGGTCGATGGAGTCTTACATGGCGGCTGGGAAATATCTTCTGCCTGTGACAGGAGACCCTTCACTGAGCAGCATGTTCTCGTAACAGCCGTTTATTCGCGAGTATGCGGGCGCCTGGTCGACGCGTTTCCGAGGGGGATCTGCTGCAAAAAAGAACAAGAGGGATGGCTCTCAGATGATGCCGCCGTCAAGCACTCCACAATGTTTACACAGGAATCATTGGCAAATATCGGTGGCGGGCTCATCTCTGGGGAGGGAGCTCCCGCAGGAACGCGTCGTCCCCCGATCCTCGTTGGGAACACACGGTCGGCTGAGGCTCGGAAATGAAAACACGATCCTCACCTGATTCAGATCGATTCCGTATAATAACTTCTGTTTCGTCTTCGTACGCCGGCCGTCGGTTTTTCCGATCTAGTAGCAGAAAATATATAACTTTTTCGTTGTTGTGACTGCAAGGGAAACGCGTTTATTAATGTCGGTCTGGCTATTTACTCGGTCCGCAAATAAAACGCTGGCCTGTTGTGCCCTCTTGACACACCCACCCACCACCGACTACCACCACCACCCACCGGCGCGAACTGACGGCTACTATCCTTAAGGGGCAGAAGGAGAGAGCGCGAGAGTCTGTCGACCGCTCAAGATAGCGTTCGACGATAACTAAGCGTCGGTATACGGTGTTACCCTCCAAATAACACCTTCTCTTATTACGCTTCTATGTTACCCCACTATGAACTGAACAACAGGCCCGAAAAGGGGCTAGGTACAATTGGATTTCGTCGGACCAACTGCACACCAACATCTGCTGCAAGAAGTTGCGGGACGCAGAGCGAGAGGACGACGACAGGGATCGGAGGGAGTCTCCGATCGACCAAGAATACGAGAATGAACGAGCTCCGATGCGAAGCACGAGAGTTATAAAGAGCTTGCAAGCATTACTTGTTGTCGCATTCGACACCAGGGACTCAGTAAACATGCTGCACAGACACACACACACACATATGTCCAATGTGCTGATTGTGTCCCGAGGATTATCGGATAAGACCCCTTCGGTCGATGCAGCTTGTAAACGAGGGGAAATCCATTTGTGAACGAATCAGTGCAACTGCGACACCAGCCATTGTGACCGACAACGATTTCGACGGCGACTGTATTTGACAATGACGTTTCTGAACCTCAGCGAGGAAGGTTGTCGAAGCCCATAGCCCTCGCGCACGACCCAAGAGGAACTCAATAGTATTACCCGGCGACGACGCTCGACGACGATGTTCCCCGATTCCGGGGCATTCGGATAATCCGGGTTTGCCGAGCATTTATCCATATCTCCCCTCCCTTCGACAGGTATGGTCGCATCTCGCAGGATGGGGGAACATCGTTGAAGGTCGGTGCGGTATTCTCTGTGCTGGAATCGCAGAGTGACTGAATCCTATTTATCCACTCACCACGGGGAGAGCAACTCGTTGACGAGTTTATTACGGTCTTTGAAGCAGCCTAAGGAGGACATACATCCGAGGACGTCGGGGTCGAGATCCTCGGATGAAGGCACAATATGCGTTTGCACCATTTCTTTCATTGGCAGCTCGTTCTCCAACTCCACCTTGCTGCCTCTGCGGAGGAACGAACGGGGCTTAGCTGGAGCTCGCTCGAATTTGAGAAGGGTCTCCGACGGACAGTCGTCTCCCGGCAGGCATATTCAACGTAAGTTGATCAGAATCGATATCGAGGGGAGGAAATTAGTTCCGTCCGTTGTCCACGAGACTTACGCTGTGACCCACGGGTGTCGCATGATTTGAGCGAGTGAGAATCGCTTCTCAGGGCTCACGTGAATCATAGAACGGAGCAGATCCTGGCAGTCGGGCGACACGAAGTGCGGGATGTGAAAAACACCCCGCTTTACCTTCTCGAGCAGCTGACGAAGGTTGTCATCGTCGAACGGCAGGGCACCCTGTGAACGGGGACAAGAGCAGTGTAAACAAACTCAATTCTATCAATTCGCTAATGATGTTCAAGTCGTGGCTGATAGCGGCAATCAATGGGATCGAGCACACGGTGTCTGTCGAGCACTCGCATAGACTCGAATCGTAACACCGCGAGCATCGGGAGGTAGATCTTTTTCGGTTCGATGCTAGTGACCAGCCGGGGAGCAAATAGCACGAGAGGCGCTCCGCCGTCAGGCAGGCACGCGGCCGAGTGGGAAAACGGACGAGCAAGAGTTCGCTTGATGGGGTGCTTGATGAGAGCCCTGATGCCTGATAGCGGCAGGAGCGTGTAATTAGCTGAATAGGGAGATTCTGTTCGGCGAGCTCCTTTCCCCGTCTGTCTGTCTGTCTGACGGTATTTCCCTCAGAGAAAAGCAGCCGCAGGATGTGGCAGTCAGAGGATGGGCAAGAGAGTGAGGGAGAGGAGGAGAACGAGGGGCAAGCACCCTGGTGGGGAGAGCTAGTAAGTCGGGAAACAGCTGAGATGCCTACGAGGAGTAATATGAGCGCTTTTATAATTGTTTCGCCTTCACTCACCACCAGCAGGGCGTAGAGGATAACTCCGCAACTCCAAACATCGGCTTTCCGACCGTCGTATTTATCCCCCTAGAATGGAGGGGGCATTGATTAGAAAAAGGTTTTCACCTGAATCCGCGAGGACATAACAGGACGGTAACAGGAGACATCATATGGTGATCTCAGGGACATCGATTGTATCGATATCACAACGGTGTCCCGCGTGATTGAATCCCGCATCTCGGCCATCTATTCTGGGAGCTAGGGTCGCGTGGCGCTTATACCAATACCCTGATGAACGCGCGCTAGTCAATTAGGCCCGTGGGCTAAGCACGGAGATGGGTGAGAGAAAGATGTGTCGGCTTTCGGTGGAACCCGTTTTCACACGATTCAACAAGAGACTGAACAGTCGACCCCATTAGGAAAGGAGGATTACATTAGACTGGGAGGGAGTTTCAATTTTGAAGTTGCATTCCTAACAAGTCATGAATATTCCAACTCGAACGCCCTTCCATGCTCCTCTCGTGAGAGCTCCCGCCTCCCTCCCGTTCGGAGGGAACCCCTCGTCTACGAAAGCATCTCTCGTAGCCCTGGGGAGACATTACTATCACATTCTTGTCAGATTGTATTAGTAAGCGCACTGCGTTAGAAATTCTTGGAAGGGTTCCTCCGACTAGGGAACTCGGACGCATGTGAACGTCGATACCTTCCGCTTCTCCATAGCTCATGGCGGGCCCCGGAGCTCCTCAACAACGGAAGAATTTCCTGAGGAGAGAGCGACTTACCCTGATAACTTCAGGACATGCGTAGTGAGGCGAACCGCAGGACGTTTCCAGCATGGAACCATCCATTTGCAACGATGCCATACCGAAATCGGCAATTTTGATATTGTTCTTCTCGTCCAGCAATAGGTTTTCGGGTTTCAAGTCTCGATGGCTTGGGGAACAAGACGGAGTCAGCGGTCTGTGGTCGGCAACGAACGATGCTATCTTCCCAAAGTGCAAACCTTGAAAAACTCACCAAATAGAATGCGAATGGCAGAAATCCAAAGCGGAGATGATCTGCCGAAAGAAGCGCCTGGCTTCCTTCGGCGTGAGGCGGCCCTTTTTCACCAAGTAGTCGAAAAGCTCTCCCCCAGAAACATGTTCCAAGATAAGGTATCTGGAATAAGAAAAGGGAAACATAAGGAAATTGACTTGATTCGACTGTTCCTCCCATGTTCTACACTACTTCGAATCGAAGAAGTCGATCTTCTTGGGGCAAAGCTCATGCTACTATTTGGAGCAGGTGCTTCATTGACTCTCGACAGGGAGGACCCAGATGACTCCCAGCGGCGAATTCTCTGAAGCAGCCCTTGTCCTGCCTCGCTCCGGCACGGCTGCTGACAATTCAAATCAGCTAATCTTCCCAAACGCGGAACTTCCTCGCCGACCCAAAATCTGATGCATTAACAACGACACGGGCGAGCAGCCATCCTCGTAAGAAGGAAAAAAGACAGAGAGCGGTATTTCAGTAGAATGGAGGAGGTGTAAGCGGGGCGTCCGATGGCGAATGGATGCTCCGAAGGTTTTGATCCGCGACTTTTCGTCTCCGGATAAGGACGGTCGAGCCCTTCTTCAATCTCGTTGTCCGACGTTGAGGTAATATGCACGAACTAATGCATAATCCTCTTACTTCCCCTCGCATGCTTCTTCTTCTCCAGCCGTCTCTTCGGGCGACACGGCGAAAAACTTGAAAGACTCTCTTTGAGGATCGAGAACTTCCCACTCCTCTTGAGCTACTTCAGCCGCTAATCTCTATCATCGGCGATCGCTCTGCTTTATTCCGATCGCAGACCTAGGAGCCATTCTCCCGCTTAACCCGCTTCAGGTAGCGAAAAAGTCAACACGAATCAGTCCTTAAGGTTCGTGAGCGTGATCCTTCACTCCACGCCCTTTTTTTCGAGGTAAGAGGGAAGCTGTTCCAACGTCCCCGGGAACGGGTTGGTTCACTGTGATTCGGTTGGGAGCGGAAATTCAAAAGAAGAATTCGTGAACGATTCCATGGTACGAATTACATCCGATACGCAGGACTCTCGAACCATCGGGATCACTCATTGGTCTACCGTCGCCGTCGTGAATAAGTGAGCGAGAAGGAGTTTTTCCGCATAGTGAATACTCCACTTGGTTGGACAGTTGCATTCGGACCAATAGTTATGTTAGTCGTGTGTCGGACTTGGAGCTCATTCGCGCTCCCTTTCATGCACTTCGACGTGTATACGGTTCTGCTCTCGTGGTTACTTACAGATACTTGGAATTCTCGTAGACGTCGTAGAGACCGAGAACGTGAGGATGTTCGATGAGCTTCATAATGGCGATTTCGCGTTCTACCTTTTGTAAAACACTTTCCGAAAGCTTCTCACGATTGATGATCTTTATCGCCACCTTTTTGCCGGAAACGCAGTGTACGCCCGTTTTAACGAGACCTGAAAAGACGCGAATCGTATTGGTTATCATCCTTAAACCGATTCTAGATAGATGCATGACTGTCGCTCCAGCTTAAGGAAGGTCCGCGGGGGTTCGAGATCGACGGATCTGTATCGCTTTGAGTGTCGGACGAAGTCATGAGTTTGGCATGGCTCTCGTTAGCGGTCGGATATACCCAAAACAGGTATCTAGATTGGTGGCTCGTAGGGTCGCCACATTGTGGCAGCAAACTTTGTTCAGTGGACGACTCGTTATCTCGCGAGCGAAAGATAGTGGTCTAGTTGATAGGCATTGCGCGTTTCCTCGGAGGAAAGGAAGGAAGGAAAGCAAGAATGGGATTCCTATGGACAATTCAATTAGAGCTCATCGAGCCGCTGACCGGTTAGCTGGCCAACAACGATCCAGTTTGCTCGCTGGCTCGGCCGGCCGTGTGCTTCATCGGTCACTCGGTCGGCTGGGAATGCCCCAGGTGATGTCCTCCTCCCTCGATGGTTAGCCTGTCCGAACGCCGAGTGTGAGGATGTGAGTCACATTTCGAACAACAGCAGCAGCGGCGAGGGATAGTCTACAGGAAGGAAATAGCACCGCCAGCATCACTCCGGCCAGCAGCAGGAAAACGCGCTCCCGCTGACCACCGGGGCGAGCCTCGAGACGGGCTCACCCCTTTTATGAGTCTTTGTGTACTTTCTCTGAGCTCGTCTTCGCTTCACTGCGAGCTCATTCGCGAGTTCGCGTCGTCAGTATTCGGCACACGATGGTGCGTGCCACGCCGAGAGTCATGAGAGTTGGGGCGATCCCGTCAGAGAACTTTACAGTGCGCTTCCAATTTAGCAAAGATTTTGAATATCATGTGCCTAATTATTGTATATTTTGTGACGGAAGATTTAGAGAATAGTATCAATTCCAATCATGTATCCGGGGATCTATTGGGATATTCTACATGCGTATCCGTCCGAGACGAGTGAGCTGCCGCATGAAAAACTCCATCAGAGAACACTCAGACTCCCCGCTCCCTGGGACGCGGAGGAGTTTCCTGTGAGCGTCTCCCTCCGAAAAAGCTCCCAACCCAATTCAGAATTCACATCTTCATTTGAATTACAATTTCAGGATTTTCATCGAGAGACCGCGGGGAGAACGCATGTGACGACAGGATTTTCGCTCGTTCCGGCGTTTCGCGATGCTCTTGGCGATCCCACGATGGAGGCGACGAGTCCGCCACTCCAACTGGAAACGTGCCAGCCGAGCAAAGAGCGAGTGGAGTAGAGTACGAAACCAAATTCTTCTCGCCGAACCGCATACCGAGAGGCAACAATCGGAATTCTATCCGATCTTGATCGGAATATTTCTTGGGCCGATCGGGGAGCTCGGTTCGAGCGCGACTCCGGCATTTCAAGATCTCACACATGTAAACTGCGACGAGCCGCTTCGGTGGCATCGGTGGAATCATCCGCTCGGTCGGGGACTCCGTCCTGATCAGAAGCCGCCTGTGCGGCCGACGAGAAACTGACGTACGACTCGGAGCGACTCAGGAATGAGCTGAGTGCTTCATATGATGTCGATCGGGAAGAAAAATTACCTTCCGTTTTTTTCCCGTTCCGAGAAGGCTTTCGCTCCTAAAATAGTGTACTCTGTACACACTCAGTCTTGCCGATGCTTGTGGATTGCAATGTACATAATGCAAGCGCTTGTTCGTCGAGTCTTTTCCTCTCCTGGCGGGGAACGAATGTTTCGCCGTGCGTAGGAATTATGGTTTCAAGTCACGATTCCTTCATGGCGAAAATCTGCTTACAACAACCCTAGCGAACTACCATTCGCTCTTCGAATCGGTTGTTGTCTGTCGTTACGATTCGCATTCTTCAGCGGAGTCGTCGCGCGAGATGGATCCGCGCCTCCGGAACAGCGTAGCCACCTGTTCCGGAATCTATGTTCATATACTGCGCCAGGCCCACCGAAGACCGCGTCGGAAGCTGCGAAAGCTGCGCTTCTACGAAGCAGGGCGTGTATGTCAAAGCGAAGACCCGTCCCCTCCGACAGACGGGACGCGATGAGCCCCGGCGGGCAAGAAATAAAAAGAGACAGCACGTAGTCGAGTCCATCCGCGGACTGTTCCTCACGAACTGGGAAACAGTCACATAGATTTTGCGTCGATATGCGTCCCGCGATGGATGCGAGACCACTTGGCCGCCCGTCGTTGGTTGAAGTGCATGAGGTCGTTGTCTACAGTTTCGCCTCCAGACCGCAGCTCCAATCAGCTGGCTAAGCCAGCCTCATCGTCGTCGTGCCAAGCGCCGCCATTACCGTCGCTGAGGCTGCTCCCACGTCTGCCCCGAGAAGGAAGTCCCGTTACTGGGTCATAAAATGTGATGAGAGTTTCTCGAGGAGCCTCCAGAGTTGACAATTTAAAAATAGCCCGTGCTGCTCTCGTCGTCGACACAGACGCTGCCGAGTTGGAGCATGCCAGAGCTTGATTACAGCAATGAGCTCACATCTCTTCGCGGCTCTTTCCGAGCGGACCCCTGAGCCCGATCCGGGAACATCGTTGCGAAGCTCGAGAGCTCCTCGTTTCTTCAGGAGTCGTCGACAGTGATCAAGAGACTTCCCAATTAGTGGAACACAGTATGGACGATAGCTCTTGCTGATGAGGATCGATCATTGATCTTGAGGGGTGAACCGCAGTCGTATTTATACATTCCGGCGGCGACGAGGAAAATAATAATGCGTAATTCGCCTGACCGCTCAAACTGTGTGGAATGGACGCGTTGTCTCCGTAATTAGGTATACTCGCCGGTGACTAATCTCTTTGAATAGATAAGACAAGAAGACAAGCAATCGACTCAATGGAGTTTGGCCGTTCAACCATGCTTGCAGCAGGTCGAAAACCACAATTTGTCGGTAAGCGCGTAGTTTCGGAGAGTTTCCGAGAAAGACGGCCAGCTCCCGAATGTTCTCCGCATGGTATCCGTGGTTTTCCTAAAAATTCCCGGCCGTCAGTCTACATGGTCGCATCGTGACGAATACGAAGAAGGGTGACGAGCGATCGTCACGGCAATGCAGGACCAATCAATTGATGGATGCGATGGTTCGATTGTACCGAGTTGAGCGCCACGAGATCATCCAAGGAATCATGCCTCGAATCTTATCTCACTCTGTCTATTCAGGATGGAATCAGAAAAGATAATATAAGATATCCGGCACCAGCGAGTAGCAATCGGGGAAAAATTGGCTCCATATAGGTAAATTCAACATCGATTTTTATTTGGCTGATCGAGTGCCTGGCTCGCTCCTGATGAGGTCTCTGAGGTGGCACAAGTTGAGAACGAATTGTATGCAGCAACGACCAAGCCTAAAAGATGGAAGGATGGCTTCGAAGGTCTCCACTAACAAGCGCTCCTGAGTACTCTTTGCAGCGATCCTTCATCGGAGAACCACGATCACTTAGCGTAGGTGTATGTTCATCATATATATATTTAAATAAATGTATTCATATATATATATATATATTTGTATCGTCTCCAATACTGTACACAGCGTCCTCGATGCATTCGCTCAGCCCAAGTGTTCGTCAGCTTTCAATCTTTTTGTTGTTTCGTTTTTTTCTCATCTCCACTGAATTTTTTCCAAGCCGAGCCAATCGACCAAGTAGCCGAGCGACCAACTAGCTGACCGATCGAGTCTACTTAACACGTTTGTTTTTTCATTCACAAGCGTGACACGCGTCCATTTGTTGTGTAACAGCCATCACTCCTCCTTCTTGCACCTGTACCAAAATGAGAATTGAGTCCCCGAAAGGTCCTTGCGCATCGTGGAGTCTCCAATTGCTGAAGTAGCAACCAGGGTCGGAGGGGGAGCGTAGTCGAACAGAAACGTCGATTTCTTCATTGGGCGATACCATCTGATTTATACGGACGTCTTCACCCTGTATATTGTAGCCTTCGACATATTTGAGCACGACGCCCTCGGGCCATGCGTGCAACCCGGTATTCCGTAACCGCCACGTCTTTATGAACGGCGTGTCCGGCGTCACGGCTTCTCCATTCCCGACGGTTCTGTCCTCGACAAGGGTCATGAAGCGCGCAGGAAGGTTGACCTCCCACGACTGGTTGGTGCCGTCAGGTTGTGAGATGCATCCGACGAAGGTATTTTGTAAAGCTTGTGAATTTTGTAGCTGATTGAGTTGCCCCTGCATTTCTGGTAGCTGCTGCGGCTCTGACTGTTGTTGTTGTTGCTGCTGCTGCTGCTCCTGCTGTTGTTGTTGTTGGGCTTGGTTGCCAGCAACTTGACTTGCGAGATCGTAGTACGTCCAAACGGCAGCCTCGAGGTTCCAATTGTTCATGTCGAGGAAAAAGGTGCTCTCCATGGTGGACAGTCCGTTGGTGAGCTGCTGCATCTTCGAAATGAGTACATCGCGATCGGTTGTTCCCAATCGGGAGAACTCCTGTAGGAGGTTGTTGCAGTCTGAATCGACGTCTCCCGAATTCGTCGTGGTCGACGTAGGAGCCGTGGCGTCGTCGATTTCCATTACGTGTTTTTGTCTCTCTTCGTTGTACGTTGTCTCGAGTCGAATAGCAATAACGATGTCGTACGGAGGAATGCACGACGTCACGATGGGGGAAGAGCGGATTCAAGACGGGACGGCAGACAGGCGAACAGGGTAGCTCTCGGCCAGCCCCTCAGTCAGACGATTCGCCAGACAGTAGACAGCCGGTCAGTCAGTCCGTCAGTCGGTCAGTCAGCCAGTCGATCAGACAGACAGGAATGCAAGCACGGTTTGGACGCAGAGTTTCCCCGATGCGGATATGCAAGGACCAACGGAACTTCGCTGAACTTGCTCCGATTGTCAAGCGACCGATTTGTCCAACACTTGAGCACTATTAGTGAGGAAACGTGCTCCAACTTTACTCAAACTCAATCAGCTGATCTTCGATGCTGTGCTTTTTGCGACATTTTGTCTCCTCAAACAGCAGCGTTCTGTCGATTATTAAAGCTCGGAACGCTGTTTCGGAGACGCCACGCTTGAATTTAGTGGCGGGCATTCTATCACCAGACGCGTTCAGCGCTCGTCGGCGTCGAAATTTCGCTTGGTACACTTCACGTGTTCACTTATCGTGATACGAGTCATCGCATTGACATAGCCTTGACGTAGCTGCGTGCGGAGGGAGCGAAAGCCCCGAGCCCGAGTTGACTCGCGCCTGCGCAGACGGAGCAGAGCGTGGAGACCCCCATCGTGGCGGCGAGGCGACCGATCCACGGAGCGGCCAACTTACCCAGCTCTGCTTGCTTCAGCCGAGCCCATATACAGTACCCGTACCCAGACGGACGAACGGTCGAGCGGGCGGACGGTGGAGGCGGCAGCAGCGGCGGCGGCGGGAGCAGCCGATGGGGTGTTGAGGCAACAAAATGTGGCTCGCTTGCGCTCAGGAGAAGGGCGAGGGAATCAAAATTGGGACAAAGGGACCAAAACGGGCTACCCGTCTCGCTACCGAGCCCCCAACCCCGCCGGGTGGAGTGAGCAGCGGAGGGCTCGGTGTTCGGGACTCGGAACCGGATGTAGCTTTATCTGCTGTAGAGAAGGAAAAGACCGCAAGTCGCTCACCAACCGAAAAATTCAGAGGCTTTTGTTGGTGCCCCTGCTGGTTGTGGTCGCAAATTTGGTGGGCTCTGAAATTGACTCCACTCAGCGATCGAACGAGAAATCTCGAGACACCCAAGAGCGATATCAATCCAAGAGGGTTTATTTATCATCATGGAAGACCAGAACCGCAGGGAGCGCTCTCCGTTCGAGAGGGTGGATGAAAGAACGAACGAACAAGTCTTTTGAGTATTGATTCTCCCAAACGGATCTGCGCTTCAATCGTTTCTCTCCGGATGCATTCTCTCCGCGCTGGAAATCTCGCGACGTCACTGCTCCTCTACCATACGCAGTAACACGTGCAGTTTTTGTAAAACGGGGTAGGAAACTTTCGGGGCAGAAAAAAGAGGGAGTTTCCCTCGACAGATGGCGGACGTCAGCCAACGTTCTCCCTGATTCCAGCCTCCTGTGAGCTCGCGTACTCGTCTGGCTCCGAGCGGAGTCGCCTGCAAGCTTTCACTGTATGATATAAGCCTTGTTACCCATTGATTTTGCAACTTTTCTCAGCCGATATTATGCAATAAATCAGCTGATAATAGCAACGGCAGCCAGAAGCGAAGCTTTTCGCTCAATCACTCAATCCCAAATTGATATTGCGTGAAAAATTGGCGTCGATTCCCGGCCTCGCTCCGCTATCCCACGAATCGAATCATTCCTCCGGGAGTGCACGCTGCAGGTGGAAAAATAAGCGCCGACACGGAACAAATCGGTACGCTGTACTCAGGGAGGAACTCTGACAAAGGCTATCTTCTCGTGTGTATAAAAGTCGTCGGATACGAGACGCAAAAGACCGTACGTTAGAGTCACTATGCTTCCGAATTGATAGAACAGCTGTTCCAACATCGGCGTGCGCGGGTATCGAGAGCGTTCTCAGCGAGAAATCGATGGGCGTCCCCAAATTCATGATCCTCGAGGTGAGATGGTGTCGGTGAAGCCGCTCATCATCCGAGTAAGTGATTCTCGAGGAAGCCATCGGTTCGGATGGCTCCCTCCAATTCACTCCCCACCATCTCTGGCGGGATTTTCAAAAGCGGAATTAGAGCGGTTTCTTTCTCTTCGGACGAAAGACGGGAAGAGTTTTGTCGATTCGACGACCTGGGGTAAGACCGAGCGGGCCGTAAGAGAGGAGCGTTTCCGAGTGCGGTCACAAGCGCCAACGCTATTGCTACTCGGTCAAGACGCTCGGTCGGTTGCTTGGTTGGTCGGTCGGTTGGTTGGTTGCCCGCTCGTTCGGCCGGCGGAGGCAGTGAGGCGAGACACTAACGCAAGGATTCGCTTCGGATTATTGTAAGCTCTCAACTGACAAGTCAAGTGGCACACCCATCTGCCGCACGGTCGCAACTGCGCATACAAGCGACCTGCACGTTTCAATACGTCTATCGAGAACTGACTCACACAGCTGAAGGGTGCCCTACCCCCTTCGGACGGTCCCTCCGCATGATCTCACGACCGTGCAGGATCCGGACAATGCCGTCCGCATGAGCGAAAAGGAAAGCCGTAGGGTCTGGAATTCGTCATAGAGACACATGCCTCCAATCCCGGAGGAACGCTGCCTAGCCCCATAAACCGCGATCGACTCTACTTAAAAATGCGGTCCTCTGGAGGCTTCGACACTTGTCGACTCTGCGCGTGTGGAAATAGAATTCTTCGAATCCACCAGCTACGTCTGTAGCGCGAGCCAACGAATCTCATTCCAATTGTTGCACCCGTTTCTGCTGGCGAATGCAGCAGAACGACGAGTGATCTGGACACTACATGAATCATGCTAACGCGGAGATGCGTCTTGTTTTCGATTTTTCGCCAGCTTTTCGATTTTTCGATCCGTCGAGTCGAGCTAGCGCTTCGATGTCGATGCTGCTCTCGGCCGCGGCAATCAGTCGGCGGAAGTTGAAACTCTGGAGCCACCTTGCTCACGATCCGCAAGGCTCTTCGATGCGAACGCCGACAAGGCCACCGCGTCTCTTAGAAATTTCGCGATTATATCCTATGTTAATGTGAATCGGAGTATGGGGTGAGACCGAGGCGGCGAAAAACCTCTGACGGGGACGCTATATTCACTCTGATTGACTCGAATGAGCACAGGATCACTTTGACTGATCTTCGTCACGGGCATCATCAAAGAAAAACGATCGAGGCTGAATGTGGATATTCACAAGGAGATCATTCTGCGATTAGAGAGTCAACGAACTCGAAAAGCCTGAAGAACGATGGCTTTCCCGGGACGACGGAAGATTCCTAAGCATCAGTATGTACGTACATTAGGGTTGTAAGGGTCGCCTCCGCATAGGGCTCTGCCTCGAATGCGAGATGAGCCGTCGGTCGCCATCGTCGTCATAGTTCATGCTGTCGGAGGAGTCTGGGGAGTCCATTGATTAACGGAGAACGCGGAGAAAATAAATCAGATGGCGACAAATTACGTCATCGCAGCGGCGCGTTGCTCGAGGGGTGGGTACGTGTACGATGGGATGCTGGTACATTCAAGCTAATACACCACTGGGATTGCCCTCTCGATCGCAGTCCACGCTGCCCTACCGGGAGGGTGTCGGACGGGCGGGCGGGACGAACGGATGGTCGGCCGGCCGATCGATAAGTCCGGCTCGTGGCCATTTGTGGCCGCGTCTCAATGTGCGCGGATCTCATGAAGAGATCCGTTGGCCGGAAAATTGGAGCCGTTGTAGCGAACGTGTGGCATTCCGAACGCGTAGGAGCAATCTTATCGAGCAATGCGCCACGCTCGGCGATAACTCGCGCCGTTCTTCGCGACTCATTATTAGTATCACCATCGTCATTATCTTTCCCGAAGCTATTAATGAGGCTCGGCTTACGCGGCAGCAGCGCAAGCATTCGGAAAGGTCAGAGGAACGTCATGCCTCCAGAAATATACAGTTTCTCGAACCGAGAGATTAGGTGTTGAGGTTTACTGTCGGGCGCCCCATGAGCGGGTTGTTTTCCACAGTCCGCTGAGCGCTGCTCCGACAAAGGAGGCGACAGCTTGCTCGTGTTATTCATGAAAAGCGGGAGGCGGGAGGACGAGTCCGTTTGAATGTGTTGTTTGACAATACGAGTGCAAAGCGAACGGAATTATCATTCTAGTTACCGAGCTCGCTCGGATGTGGGGACCTTCGCTCCCGGCGCGAGTCGCGATTGGAACCTTCCGCGCTCAGATAGACCATCTGCTAATTCGTGTATCGCGATGAGGCCGAGGTCGAAGAGTCACCTGTAGATACCGATGGCCTGAAGATGGGTAGCGCAATCTCCGTTCTGGTTACGCCGCAGTTCGGTCTTCGGTCGAGATCTAGATAATGATTTTCGCGAACTCAGTTGTGCTCCCTGGACGACGCGAGGCGTGCGAGATCTGCCGCATGCGGTATCTAATCGCCCGCAACAGCGCTCCTCTCTCTCGCTTGGGAGGGACTCGAAACGAGGCAAGAGGATCAAATTCAGAATTTCGGGCTCGCTGCTTGTGAGTGAAGATCTTTTGGAACGGTTTCCCCGTCTCAAGAAAGAGCCTCCTTTTTGTGAGATCCTCGTTCGGCCCTCAGTTTTATTCCCATATGCTCGGAGGTCAATGACGATGTTCCCTTTTTGTTCTCGTGCCAGAGTCCGCTTCATCACTGGGGCAAGCAGTGACGACGAAACTGTCCCATCAGAAAGGACCGGACAAGGGTCAAGGCTTCGGGATACCTCGGAGCGCAGTAGGGGGACATTGAATCACTCGGGCTGGCAGCTCGCTCGGGCTGGAGTATCACCAAGGAGTCGGAGAGCGTCTGTTTGTACAGTCGGCTCACAAGCGAAGGAGCGTCAAAGGACTTGATGGAGGCGCTCTTCGAGGATAAAAATACCCCTTAATCAAGTTTGCAAACCTTCGGACCGGATACCAACTCTAGCGGAAAG